CAGAAAATTAGAGCTTAGAGTTAAAACTTGAGCTATGTCTGTTCGAACAGAACATAGGGCTTTTTCGCATATTTTACCAATGTTTGTCCTTTTGCAGTCACTTTTAGAGTGCTTGATAAAGTTAAAGGTTGTTCAAAATGCTTAGAATAATAACAAAAATTAACCTAATAAAAAAAAAATCCATCTTATAACAAAAATAAAGTATTATCACATGACGCCACATGCCCTGCGATGACGTCATCTTGACAACACTTGTCAATGCACTTTGTCATTGTTGTCTTGGTTTGTTCAAAGCTTGAAATCAATCCGATGAAAGGAAGTGTACAATTTTGGAAGCGGAATTTTAAATATTAAAACAAATTATTAAAAAAATCAACCGATATCTACCAACTCCGTTAAAATGACGTGGCGGGTATGATTTTTCTATACAAATAACCATTATCTATTTCTTGCTCCTGATGGTTACTATAATTGTCCGTGTGTAACCGATGATTACCGTATGATGAGAATTGGACGCCGGGAAAAATTAAATGAACTCGCCGACCTCTCTTGTTTCCAAAGTACATCAGCTTATCCGAGAGAACCTAAGGAGAATTAAGACGTCCAAAGTGAAATTATTCAATCGATTCAATAGGCCTAGACAGTTACTACTGCATTAATTTTTTTTCCCGAACTCTTCCGGGCATATTTTTTTTCACTCTAAAACATCTGGTCCCTACTTGCGGCTGATAGACTGCTGATTCTCCAGCATCCGTGAGTCCAGGCTGAGATGTTGTTATTTCTCATCGGTTAGGCGAAGTAAAAAAAAAAACATGTTTAGCGTCCCCGCCCGCTTCCTTTTTAGAGGCCGCCTCCTTTTTTTTTTTTTTTTTTTTTTTTAAAAGACAAAAATTGATAAATTTTAACGATCTCTGACGAAAGAAATCGTATTTTTAGACTTTTATACCGTGTATAAAGCTGTGGAAATAGTCAATGAGTCCAAGTGGTGGCCATTTTGAAAAAAGCTGGTAACCATCTTGAAAAAAGCCCGGCCGCGTTGTCTTGAAACATGTGTCGGGCGGCCATTTTGAAAAGAAAAAAAAAAAAAAAGGGCCTCCTCCTTCCTTTTTGTCAAAGAGGCAGGACGCTAAACATGTTTTTTTTTTATTTTGCCTTAACTCTCAAGCTTCTTGCTCGGGGGCCGTGACCTTAAGATCGATCAAGGATTCGGATCCCACAGGGTCGGTCTTATCGTTTTCATAATTTAATTTAGCGTATCAGCAGTACTTTAAGCGCAATCGATAAGCGTTTCGTCTGGGACTATTCTGAACTTCCCGTGTGAGGTACGTATGGCTGACTAGCCATAGCGCCGACTGTTCTTGCAAGGCAAGGGCCGATCGCGATAACGCTTTGTAATATGTCAGCGGCGGCGGAACGCTTTTCAAACGGAGGGGGGGGGGGGGCATCACCAAAAAGGGGCACTTGCTCATCCGTTGGTGCAACATCCGTTGGTGTAAAAAAGGAGACAATTGTTGAACTATTTTCTTTCAAATTGCAAGGAATACATGTTACCCGGAACAAAATTTGATATACACCTTTAAACAAGTTTGCTTCAATTCTTTTTTAAAATCTTAATTCCCTTACTCAAAAAATTACAGTGTAGGCCTATTCCGGAAATAGTCGCAGTATAGCCGTATTGTTCTCAAATCAGGTCATTTCTCCGGCACAGCCCCGGCAGTAACCTCTCTGGGTCCGCCCTTGAATTTGAGTAGTTAGGCCGGCCTATGCAGAGGACCATTTTTTTTTATCGCGAGAGGGGCAATGTTGCTTTTGATGGACAGTTCAGTGACCATTTTTTTCGCGTGAGGAGCACTATTTTTTTAGGCCAGTTTTGCATCTTGAGAGGGGCACAGTTTTTTGTTGCGAGCGGGGCACTAGTAGTTGTGCTTTCGAGGGGCAGTTTTCCATCTCGATAAGTTATCGGCGAGTAGAGCACTATTGTTTTTGATAGTCATTTTCTTATCTCGAGAGGGGCACACTTTTATGATTGCGAGAGGGGTGTTTGTGCTTTCGAGTGATAGATTTCCTTCTCAAGAAGGTTCACAATCTTGTTAATGCGCGAGGGGTAAATGTGTATATCTTGAGGGGCACTTTTGCATTACAAGAGAGGAGACAATTTTTAAGCGCGATCATAATGCTTTCATGCGTGCATTTTAGGGGCAGTTTTGTTTTCATCTCCAGGGGCCACATTAATGACTGCGAGAGGGGCACTTTTGTTGGCTGGGAAAATCGGGGGAAGGGAGGGGCAAGTGCCCCTTCGCCCCCCCCCCCCCCCCCTCCCCCCCCCCCCCCCCCCCCCCCCCCCCCCCCCCCTCCCCCGCGGTTCCGCCGCCCCTGCCATACTGTCGAATTATTACCCTGTTAAAATTTGGTTGGTCAAAAGTTCAAGACTCTTGCTACATAGCGGGCGCTGTATTGGTTTGTACCGAATCGATCATTACTTTGACTGGCAATAATCCAACAATAGATGGCGTTCTACAGCATTCATTCACAAACAATGATTGCACAACTTTTGCGCCATTTGCGCGATATAAGGTATATAATTGTGAATTTGTACCCTTTGAGCCGGGTGAGCCGTGGCCTAGTGGTGCCGAACTCGAGACTTGAAGCGTCTTCGTTTCGCATCTCGCTGCGATAAACCGCAGGATCACGGGGTGCGAGGCCGCTAGAACAAACTCGATACTCACCTTTTGATTTGTTTTTCCACCTCCGTGTACACATCAGAAATTAAGAAATATTTGATGTCTTTTGAAGTTTTCTTTTCTCAGTTTTTATGTCACTCAAAGAACAATGTGTTTCTTTAAAATGAAAATTCAATCAACACTGGTCATAAGCGGTCGGTCGAAATCCTCCACCATTTTTTAAAAATCTTTCTCCTAGGCAATTGTGCGCAAACGATTTGCTGAATTCGTTCCAACACATTTCATTTGTTTGAGCCTGTATCAGACACTTTACTCGAGAATAATCATCATTGTTTTCCTTCTTGAAATTGACTACACGGAGTTTCCACCCCGTTTGCAGTACACTGTAAACAGAGGTTAAAGAAAAAGAAGGGGAAAAAAGCAGTTAAGGCATTTCATCTTGGGAAAGACGAGCATCATGCTATTATTTAAGGGTGTCCATTTGGCCAAAAAAAAAAAAATACTCGGTCTCTGGTCAGCGCGCGCGTCGATTTTAATTATGCGCGTCAACCTTTTTTCCCCTTCAAATTAACTCGGAAGCTACAACAGCGCCCTCTATTGCCGCGCCTCCTCAAATTTTTGTACCAAGGAGCACCAAGGAATGGGGAAACTGCACCAAGGCAAATGATAAAGGGCACCAAGGCAAATTATGGAGGACACCAATGTATAATGAGGACACAAAAAAGCAAAATAGTACCCACCTTGTCTGTACAATACAAGTTTGAAAAAAAAAGCCACCCCCCCCCAAAAAAAAAAAAAAAAAAACACGTCGCCGCATCAATTCCGGAACTTCGGTCTGACCAGAGACCGACTATTTTTTTAATTTTTTAGCCTTATGTAAATAATCAACAATTACCTGCACTCTTCATTATTTTTTTTTCCTCCAGAGGGCTGCAGACGTTTAAACAAAGGGGGAAAAGAGTTTTGGTGTTTCGTTGTTTGAATAAAACATACAATTTGAACGTTTATTAATAAAAAGAAAAATCTAATTTATTGAAGAGCACGGGGAACGAACTTGAAACGAAATTCTTTACTTGCTAGACCTAGCAATGCGTTCGCCTTTTGCAGCATAATTTGGTCAGTTTATTTTAGGATATCACCACTGATCAATGTCGGAAGTCAAACATTCACTTTGGACATAAATGTGAAATGAGAAAAAAAGGGCGTTCGTATGATTCCAAGTCCGTTGCGGACAAAGTACACCGTATTGTTGATTATATTGTATGATATTGACACTGTATTTTATTGGAGAATTTTAGTTTAATGAACAGATCATGACTGTGTAGAGAATGGTAGCTTAATTAGCAAGCTTTCTATTGTTATTGCTACGATAGCAATTCATGTATTAATAGTTGTAAATAATTACATATTGTGTATTTTATTGTATAAGTTTCGTAATGTAAATATTATTGAGATTAAAATATCTCCAACACATGGAATTAAAGCTCGGTGTGGTGAATAATCGAAATCTTTCTGTGCAGATTAATGGTAGCGTATACGTTCGGTGCATGCAAGGGATCGGGAGGAAGATCGGGCGTAGAGGAAGACGGATATGACCAACGAGCGCATCATAAAGTCACCATATATTGTGTCACACGTCACTGAAATCAGATTCAAAACCTCATCAGGATTTTTTTCTCAATATTTTTAAGTTGTTCTCCTTTTACTATTTTAAGTTCGCCCACAACATACAACTTTTTGTCCAGTAATGAAAAAAATTATTTACATTTGAATAAGTCATTGAGCAAAAACCCCCCAAAAAACGAAAACAAAAAACAACTTCGCCCACGTTTACTAAAATTAATATTTTACAAATTTCGAATTAATTTGAGATTTTCCGACCCAACAAATCCGGCGGATATTATGTGCCTCAGAGACGCAGAAACAATCCAAATACAAGCCTTCTGAAGATGTTGCAGACGCACATAAAGTATAAACAAGGGTTTTTTTAAGTTTAATTAGAATATTTATATTGACAATTCGAGAAAAATGATCGAACTTTTACTACTGCTTTATTCAGAGAACGCACATGGGAAAACTACTTTATTAAAAGGGGGTGAACAATTAAATAGCACATTAAAAAGGCACACTGAATCTGATTCTTGAAATACCGGATTCCCTCTTTGCTAAAATAAAAGTTTGTGAAATTGATGGCAATTTTTTTTAATACTTTTTGAAGACGTACAGGTACCACAATGTTCTTGCGCACCATGTGTTGCACACGGTAGTGCAGCGAGCCCAAAAAAAATACATAGCGCCCTCATTAGCCTAAAGCGTAGTCGTGTTATGGTCACGTGACGTTCATAGCGACAAGTACACAACCTGCAAAAGACACAACGACCACCGTGCGAAAGCAGAATTTGTTGAATTTTAACACGAATTTTGGCTGGAAAAATGGCAGAAGAGGAGTCAGAAACAACAGGAAAGATTGGCAGCAAGCGCATATTTGTTAACCACGTTGATTGTTATCACGGCAAGAATATTGGGAAAGTAAGTGCCACCGTCACAAAAAGCTTTCCATTTTGACCGAAAGCTGAAGTTCAGGTTCAAGTTGCTGTTTGGAGTTCTTGGCAATGGCTGAATTAGCCCCATAAATGTGGCCAATTTACTGGATTTCCTCCTTTAATAAAGGCCACATTTCCACCATGTACAAAAACATGTCGAACTTTGTCAAATTTTCACATTTAGGCTTAGTTTGTAGTTTGCTTTTGCTTTAGTACTCACCCTCAGGCTAATCAGAATGAGTGCTGCCTTTTTCAGATGTCTATTTTTCGTGAATTTCCAGATTCATTTGCACCATTTGCGTATCAAAATTTCGACATGAAATTTCACAAAAATTAGACATCTGAAAAAGGCAGCACGAAACCTCCTCCTGATTCATGTGATTGACTGGACTCATACCAACGTCTACTCCTAGAACTATGAGGCTCCACGTAGTGGAGCCTCATAGGTTCAGAACCCCGCAAAATTGTTGTCAGCACAAAACACTAATTAAGTACAAAAACGTCCATCCCAACCAAGCTTTTTTCCACAGAACCGCTGCACAGTTTGCCCCTAAACTCCGTACAATACCTCATGACATACTCACGTTATGTGCACCCAACAAACATCGGTGGATTCTGTCTGTTTTCGGCAAAAATGATGAAAAATATGCCCTTTCCGCACTGAGACATCTTAACACTTGAAACGAGCACGCGCGCAGAATGATCGCAGTCATTTTCAAGTTCGATCGCAAATTTACATCTTACTTTTGAACACTATTTTAGTTTTTGTACTTAATTATTTTCTTTAATTTAAATTAAAAAATAATAAAATATAACAAAAACAGGTAAAATTGAAATCATCATTAAAGAATATTCTTGTCTTTTTCACTTTAATATCAAATTTTTTTTATAACTAAGTAAAAACATGCAGTCATTACACTTTTGACCTCTTGTTGAACAGTTGCTCTTCTAGCCCGACTGCGTCTGGCCGTACAGTACTATCGCAAGCTCTGTAGTACGGCCAGATGCTGAATGCTTCCAAAAAGACTGAATTTTTTTGGCCACTGATGTAGCGATTTTGCTACATCTTTTGATCGAGATTATCTTTTCATCCAGGACAAAAATTTCCACAGTTAAGGTTCTTAGTCGTAGAGCAACTCGAAAAAACGTTCTTTGGTCTCAATATTTTCATCCATCTGGCCAAAAGACGACTTTCAGTCATCATCTTCCACAAATATCGTCCCGAAAATGCTCCCCCATGCGATTTCAAAATGGCGGCCGCGCTGTAACTCATGAATATGCATAAACAGTCTGTGACGTATGACCTCGTATTTTTGGACGTGCGTGCGGCGGCGCCGTACGTACATGTACGTACATGTACATTACTTGTAGACAACAGCCCAGTACGTGCATGCACACGTACGTCCGCGCTACAGAGGATGAGTATGCTTCTAAAGCAAAAATAAACTTCAAACTAAGCCTTAATGTAAAAATCAAAATTTGACAAAGTTCGACATGTTTTTGTACATGGTGGAAGTGTGGCCTTTATTTACGGAGGCAGTCCAGTAAATTGGCCACATGTATGGGGCTATGGCTGAATGTGGAGGGGGGAGGGGAGCTGGTCATCCCCCCACCCCAGCATGTGTGCCCTAGCTGGCCAACTCATTTCTACATTAGATGACTAATCCGAAGAAAATAATGTTGCATCCTGACGCCACTTTTTTCATCCGCACAGTCAGAGCCTCCGCTCAGACTGGAGCAAAACTTAAAAATACCACGTACATTCAACCACGCAGTAGCCCCACTTGTCGACCTTGGTTGCTGCACTGTAGTCCCACTAACTGGGGCGCTAGAACCATTTTTTTTTTACATTTCGGATGTTGGTCTGTCGTACTAGCGCCCCACTACAGAAGCATTCTCAATGTTTCATTTTCCACCACAAAAGTTCACCACAAGTTCACCACAAGTTCACCACAAAAGTTGCCAAAAATCACGAAAAATACCTTTGAAAGCACCTACTGGCTTCTCCACACCTGCGTCTGTTTCATGACAAGGCGCACTATGCATGTTGCAGGCGTACTCTTGTACCACGCCTTGTCATGAAACAGTCACTGGTGTATCCCCCGATCTGCATGCGGAGTTTGTTTATCGATGCAGGTCACGGTCATGTTCGCTGCGCTTCGCGTTCGTGTTTGTATGACCGTCCATAGACAATGCGTTGCAAAACGCAGCCACTAACATTTTTGAATGAATCGATGTGTTATGTCTGTGCTATAGCAGTTGAATTTCACGGATATGCTACCCAAAAAATAATCATGAGTATCATTGAAGCCCCATTTCTTTGTCTTTAACATGTGGAGAAGCCAGTAGGTGCTTTCAAAGGTATTGTTGTCAAGTATTTTGCGTGATTTTTGGCAACTTGTGTAGTGAACTTTGGAAATTGAAACATTGAGAAGAATGCTTCTGTAGTGGGACGCTAGTACGACTGACCAACATCCTAAATGTCAAAAAAAAGGAGTTCTAGTGCCCCAGTTAGCAGTGTTGTAGTTGAGTACTTTTTTCCGAGTACCAAGTTCTGCCGAGTACTTAAGTTGCCGAGTACGAGTACTTGTACCTCCCAGTACAAGAACAGGTCTCTGAGTACGAGTACTCGTACTTCCGAGTACGAGTACGAGTACCAACACTGTTCTTCCGAGTACGAGTACGAGTACTTGTATTTCCGAATACGGCCATACGGCAAATGCTTCATTGTGCGTAATTGGCCCAGGCCCAGTCAGACCGATATACAGACCCACTCATGGCTAGCTGTTAAATGTGTTTGTCCGGACGAGCACAGAGGAAAATCAGGAAACATCCATTTCTCCACAAGCCAATCAACCACTCAAACTGAAAGTATCGATAAAATAAGGCCGTGGTATATAAAGTCAAGCTATACCATTTCCCCCCGAGTACTGCTATTCGACTGCGAGTACTTTGATGATCGAGTACAATTTCGACATGTCGAGTACGAGTACTTTGCTGCCCGTATACAAGTACCGTCATTTCGAGTAGGAGTACTTTGACATTCGAGCTCGAGTACAAGTACGAGTACTCCCAAAAAAGTACTCGAGTGGTACTCGAGTCCGAGTACTACAACACTGCCTGTTAGTAAGACTATAGCTGCGCCGTACGTTCGGCCACCCGTCTGGTTTTGTGACCTACTGAGGAGTTAAGTCCGAAACTAGCGCACTTTTTTTGGCATTTTTTTTACCACTGCATACGGTTGTTTTCTGTGATGTCTCATTTTTTACCCTCCTGGTAGATTAGGTAATCTTTCTTCAAACTTTTTGAGAAATTTAGACATCTTTCTGGAGTCCATATGCGCCAGTTTGGGACTAAACTACTCAGTAGGTTGGGAGACCAGACATGTGGCCTAACGTACAGTGGAGCAATACTGAGGCCACACAAGTGGGGCTCACCACGCAGGTGACAAAGCTTTTTCTGTAGCAGGACCTAGATGCTGGAACTCACTCCCTCTGTAATGGTGAGCGTAACAACAAAATGTTTGTTTATTTACTTCTTATCTGTATTTTTTCCTTTGTAGTACCTGTCCAACTGCATCGTCGGTGCGTCACTTGAAGAAATCGAAGAAGAGGAGGAAGATGATGCTTCAGTCAAGAGTGATGTTGTTGGCCCACCCAAGGAGGGCACGTACCACATCATTGGCTCACTCAAGAACCCCAACAAACCCAAACCTGCTTGGGTGCAAGAGATCATCAGTGTGAGTTTTTGTTAGTCCGATTGTCCAAAACAAACTTTTTTTGACTTGTTTGCACTGAAGTTAATCAAAGTTTCTAACCTACAAAATATGTTGTAAAGTCCTGTTTACTAACATTTTTTTATGTTGGGTACCCGATGCTACGTACGATTCGAACCAGCCAACAGATCCCGCAAGCTCAGTGGTCGAGTGGTAAGATGTCTGCACTAGAAAGCAGGAGGTTGTGGGTTCGAGTCCCCGAGTGATTTTTTCCAACTTCACTCGGGAGGTAACACACTGAGTACACAGTGTTTTATACGTCGGTGAAGGGCAAAACCTAATATTAAACATTTGTTTATGATCCATAAAAGGCAAATATACATTTAGTTTTGGTTGTTGACATGAGTGAGATTTTTTTTTTTAAATGTTTTGTGAACAAACTCCTGATTTGACTTGTCATCCAGTATAACTAGAAAATCTACAATCTAGTGAGAAAATTATTGGGGGAGAAATTTGCATTCTTCATCTGAAGCCTTTAAACATATGTCTTCAATCCCCCCCCCCCCTTGCCTCCCGCCTCCACTGCAGTTTCCAGAGAAAGAACAGATGTTGGAGCATCTTGCTGAATGTGACGTGGTAGTCTACGACATCAATGAGGATCCTAGTCAGATAGACGAAGCCTCCTGGGCCGTTTCAGGTAAAAGGTCTAATCAGTGTGTCGTTATCAAAATCACAAGATATTTCGATTCCTGGGCCCAATTTCATGGTGCTTGGTAACAGTCAGCAGAAAAATTGTGCTAAGTATGGAAGACAATTGTGCTAACCTCTTTGAAAGCATTGTTTCTCAGCGTTGATGTGCATGTGGTTGGGCACGCATGGAGATTTCTATTGTTTCAACCCTGAGGGTTGAGGCAAGCGTGCCTTTCAGTGTGCTCACGGGCTCCTTAACCCTAAAAAGGCCGGGGGGGGGCGGAATCCGGCCCCCCCCCCCCTCACCTTTTTCCGCGGTAGCTTTAAAAAAAAAATCGCGACCCGAGCTGTTGTGACTTTTTAGCCTCGAGCCTTGCGCATCTTTTGATACCAAAAATATAAAAATCGGACCACGGTCACAAAATTTCCTGGCGCTACGCGCCGTGAAAACTGAATTTTCCCATATATGTCGTGTACACAGAGCAGAATTACCATTCATACATATGAATAATTAATTAGCCATAATTCCTAAACCCTTTGACCTATAGTCATGAAATTTCTTGGGTGTGTTAATTATGAGTTGCTCTATGCATGTACCGAGTTTCAAAATTTTTCATCACTCGTTGGCCGAGATCTTAGGGGGGCAGAGTCCGCCACCCCCCCCCCCCACCCCTAGGCTGAGAGATGGTCAAAATAACCTGGCCCTTTTAGGGTTAAAACAGATGAAGACAATCTTGTGCTTCGAAACACCATGACATTGGGCCCTTAATTATCACAGTCAGCCAGTTTGGTTAAAGCCAGTTCATTATTTCATTGGTTTCGATCCAACTCGGACCCAAACCAACTCGGACCCAAGCCAACTCGGACCCATGCCAACTCGGACCCACTACCAACTCGGACCCATGCCAACTCGGACCCACTACCAACTCGGACCCACGACCAACTCGGACCCACTACCAACTCGGACCCACAACCAACTCGGACCCACTACCAACTCGGACCCATGCATGACCAACTCGGACCCATCGTTTTCAATCATTCGACATCGTTTTCAATCATTCATTTCATAAAGTTTGTCCACTTCTCATCTGTTATTAGTATTACAGTCATGACAGTGATGCTGTTTAGTATAAATGTTCATTGTAATTGTAAGGTAAATTATCTCATATCTGTATTGCAGCAGTATAACATTTTTGTCGTTGTAAAGCGCATTGAAATGCGCTTTAAAAGTGTAATTAATTATTTATTATTTTTAATTGTTTCCATTAAAACATATTACGCTGTAAAAGTTAAACCAATTATTTACTCTCAATAAAACATATTAATTGACATCGTTCACACCATCTTGCTAAATTTAACAGCATTTATTTCGTTTTTAATCCAAACTTCAACGTATTAAACGAGTATACAAATTAAGAACAGATCTTCATAGAAAAATAAAATTGGAAAGTATGGCATTAAAACATAAACACTTTCAAACATAACATTATTAACTCAATAAATATAAGTAAACATTATAAGTCAATAAATAAAATAAATAAGATATAAAAACGAAGTCTATTCTAATCTCTATTTAAAAAAACAAAACACATAAACACCATTGCATACACTGCAAGAAAAACGAAGGTTCCATATTAAACAAAAAAGTTAAATCAAAAAAGTATAAAAAGTTAATCGGATTCGTAAAAAAAACCCACAAAATTCAAAGCCAGCATGTGAATTGGTAGTGGGTCCGAGTTGGTCGTGGGTCCGAGTTAGTAGTGGGTCCGAGTTGGTCGTGGGTCCGAGTTGGTCGTGGGTCCGAGTTGGTCGTGGGTCCGAGTTGGCGTGGGTCCGAGTTGGCATGGGTCCGACTTGGCATGGGTCCGACTTGGTTTGGGTCCGAGTTGACCTGATACCATTTCATTTGCATATTCCAAAATCAACATTTCACAATTTTCTTTCTTTCAAAATTGTTCTTATATGTGCAGATCATAGCAGGTACCAACAAAACAAAGACGTGTTTCTTTTAGTGCAGGATTTCAAAACCTTTGGACGGCACCATGTTTATGCTCAAAACTTTTGTGAAGTGAAAGTTTTCATTTTTTTTCTTGATTACACGAATAATTGAAGAATGTGGATTCAGTTACCATGTCCCAAACACAACTTGCATATGCAACTGTTATGTTCATCCCGAAGTAAAATAGTCGTATGATGTTGTTCGCATGCACATTTGAAATATCAAACTGGCTTCCAACTGTGCATATGCAGGCATATCAATACCATTTTCACATTGGGATAAACTCAGCAGATATTAAAAGACATTCATAAATACCTAAGACAGTTAATGCATTCCTATTGGTCGAGAGCCCGTCACGTGGCCGGTCTTAAACGGATGATAAAGACATGGCTAGCTGGTCTTAAACACTTTTCCAGTGTCACAATAAAATGTGGACTCCTAAAAATCCAGTGCCTCTTATCGTTTCATTGCTTGAACGTTCACAATCCTCACGTAGGCATGCGCAACACTACCAGGGAGTCAGAATTTTATAGTTCTAAATTCAAAACGCAACGCGCCAGGTGCGTTCTGCGCGACATCGCGCAGAACATGATACGCGCGCGTCAATCTCCATAAAAGGGTTGTTTACATCTTACTCGCCAGCTGAACACTCCATTATTTTGCAAGAGGGATGTTTCAAAAAGCATAAAGTGAATTTGTTGAACAAAATCGGGATGTTTTGAACGAATTATATGATTTTTTTTTACCGAAAAGGTATTTATGAATGGGAATAAATATGTGCTCCGTCGGTATTTATCACTCTGTTTAAGACCACTTAGAGTCTGGGTGCTGATAATTATCAGCACCCAGACTCTAAGTGGTCTTAAACAGAGTGATAAAAACCTCCGGAGCACACATTTATTCCCTTATTCAAAGGAGTTTGGAATTGTTTGTACAGATTTGGTAGGTTTTTTTTTTCTCCCTTTTTTAAGCCCTGGTTATTTTGGATTGTCTATTTTCTAAATGTAAAGTATGTTTGTATTTTGACAGCATTGCATGCAGAGCTGGAGCGATTTGAGTCCCCCAAGATGTTTGTCCTGATCTCCAGCATCATGACGTGGGCCAAGAGCAAGCCAGTAGATCCAGTAAGTGAAGGTCAATCAATTGCATCCAGATCTTGCAATAAAGTATACATGAAAAACCTCTGACGGCCCCCAGATTGTGACCAATCAGAAGAGACCTTTTTGCTTGCTGATTACGTAATTGAAGATGACATGTTGTGTCCACATTGGGACCGATTTCACTATCTTTTGTCGTTTGCCACCTCATTTAAAACTTTTTGCCACAGATTGTCAAATATTTACGAGTAGTGTGGATCTCAGCCTTCAACGCATCTGTCAGCGCTGTGATTTAACTTGTTTGCAGCTTGTCACTGACTAAATATATAAAAACACTAATAAAAAAAATTCCAACATCAAGATCTCACGAAGTTAAAAACTTTTCAAAGACTGTCATGTTATGTGGTGCAGTAATGTTGTCTGACGTGTAGGTGTCTTCTGTAGAGTTTGGAATCTCCTCACACAGAATGGTAACTTGAATTGTTGTCTTTTTCGTTTTGTTTGTTTTTGCTAGGACGACACCGAGATCCCATTTACCGAGGAGGATTACAGACGGAGGAAGCCACACTCCAACTTCAAGGCCCACATCAGCGCTGAGAAGCTGGTCATCAAGTTGGGCAAGACGGTGAGTGCCAAACTCATTTGTTTGTTTGTTTGTTTGTTTATTTAGGGTTTTTTTTTTCTTGCAACAGTGATTGAGGGCCAGATGATGAGTGCCCTTGATGTAAAATATCTGGTTCCCTCATCAATTGTCATAAGGGCAATTCCACGGTTACTTACGTTACATTTTTGATGTACTTTTGAGTTTCCTTGGGCTGTAATTACCTTACTGAAAAGGTTTATTAACTGTTATCTCCGTGGTAGATAGAGTAGACCTAGACCTACCTAAGCACCAAAGATGACATCCAGAAAAATGTGTTATGTATGATGAACAAGACGCACAAAATGGGTTACTCACGTTATGAAAATGTAACGTGAGTAACCGATTTTGTGCGTCTTGTTTTATCATACATAACACATTTTTCTGGATGTCATCTTTGGTGCTTAGGTAGGTCTAGGTCTACTGTATCTACAATGGGGATAACAGTTATTAAACCTTTTCAGTAAGGTAATTACAGCCCAAGGAAACTCAAAAGTACATCAAAAATGTAACGTGAGTAACCGTGGAATTGCCCATAAGTTGAATTTGCGTCATATCAAACAATGCAACAGAGCTTGAATCATTTTGTGGTGATACCATTAGACATATGGACCACTTCTGGAGCACATATAACACCACACCCACAGATTCTGTATTTTGATTGGCCGATTGCCTATACATGGTATAGGCAATGTTTACCATCTTGCCTTGCATGGTCAAAAAGACTATACAATGGCCAAAAAGACCATACAATGGCTGAAAAAGTACTGTACGCATGGCAACCAATGTAGCAGCCGGATGTCTGTATGCACATGCATATGGGTGTGGGCATTGCGCGTATTGTTCACATGGACAGAAGAGTTGGGTTCTAACATTTCATGAGGGGGTAGTTTGGAAAAAAGTGAGTGAATTTTCTAATTATTTCACATTGTAAAAACAGTAATAGAAGTACTATTTTTTGTCGGAGTTTTTTGTTGTTGAATTAATCAGTAATCTCTTAAAATCAAGCAGAAACTGTGGATGACACATTATAAAACAAATATTGACTGCTTTATCTCGTGGTGAAGTAAAACTAGCCTCCCTCGGTGATCCGTGGAGCATTCCATTTCCTCAGCTTCACCTCAAGGAAAACAGAATGCTCCATGGATCACCTTGGGAGACTAGTTTTTTTACACCACAAGTTAAAGGGAATATACAACATTTGCCAATATCGAAAAATAAAACTACCAAGTTTTTATGAAATACCTTAATAGGATGTTGGTAAATAACAGTCTAAAGCATCCTGTAAACTAATGGCACCTGGTGTGAAGTCATTTTCAAGAAAATGGTATTTTTGTAAAAATTTCCAGCGGTGGTCGGCTGACCACCGTTGGAAAAACCTAACTATTTTTCAACTACTGCTCCAAATTCACTATTAATTCAGTCCAAATTTTGTTCGCTATTGGTTACATGTTCATGAACGGGTGCAGGCCAGCTAGACTGGTACCCTTACCTTACAATTTTGCGGAATCTGTAAATTGATCCATTTTATATTTAGTGGAGTCAGGAAACCAGACTACTAAAACAGTTTTGTTTTTCTTGGTTTTTCCAGCATTTTCGAACACAAAACTTCAAACATGTCAGTGTAACAATATTTGATCTATTATACTAACCCCTCAAATAGTTCATTTCTGAAAATTACAGCAAAAGCCAATGATGTATATTCCCTTTAAATCATTCATTAGCTAGTTGTATCCTCTGTTTGCCTAATTTGCATGTTGGTGGTAAAGGCATAAAATAGTGGACTTTTTATTAAACAAATACAGATGTTGTTGTCGTCAACTTCATTTTATAAAAACTTTGCATTCAGAAAAGTGAACAGTGTAGCATCTGGAATACTTGCTTTCCATGCTGAATTTTTCAATTTCCTTCTCTTCCAGAACAAAGCTAAGTTTGTGACCTACGTCATCGCCTCTGGGCTTACCTATGGCGGAGGGGAGAATATATTCCACTATTTGTACAAGGTGAGTCAAACATACATTAGTCAATGTGTTGTTTTTTTATTGTGGATGTTGTGTAATCCAGTGGTCGGATGTAACTTCAAGTTGTTACAAATTTCAAATCTGACTTATATATTAAAGACACTCAGCGTTTGTCGTAAGTAATCCACACAAAAATTGTGTTGCTGATGAAACAAGTTTTACATCTCAATCATAATGAAGTTGATTCTACTTTTTAAAGTAATTGCTTTTTAACCTGGAGCAAATGAAATAAAGACTGTTGGGGTCATACAGTAAATTAAATTCTTTTTTTTTTTTGGCTCTTTGTGCTGCAAAAATAGAATGAGAATCAAATTATTGTTTTATGTAATTTATTAGTTGCAGACCAACTTTTAGTTCTAATTAAACTAATTCTTAGCCCAAAAATACAAATGTTATTTTTTTTTTTTCTTTGTAGGCGGCTTGGCACGGTGAAATTGAAGCCCTTCAGTGCTTTGGCAATGGCATGAACATCCTGCCCACTATCCATGTCAAAGATCTGGCTGGGTGAGTGCAGATTTCACATCACTTTTTAATTGATTTGAATGAATCGTTTCAAGAACTCATTTAAAAAAAAACCTAATACAACAACATTTCCCCTGACAGAATGTTGGCTCCCTAACTTAAGAATAGCTCGTTGCAGTTTTTTCTCTCATCCTTTGAAAATTCACTCCTTTAAAGATACATAGGTTCATTTGCTTTCCGTGCATATTTTTCCTTTGAAGCTACAAATGCTCAAAATCTTAAGTACAGTGCATAAGAAGTTTAAGCTCAGTGGACATGTGTTATACATTTTGAGAAACACAAATATATGCATAATTGTTTTGGTTCTCTTAGCTGGATTCCAGTGCTTATTTATGTTTTAAAAAAAGTGTGCCTGCGTGCACAGATTTTAAAACCACCATATTCCCATAATAATTGTTTCCTTCCAAATGATACCATTGGGGCGAATAATTCGACAGGGTACTTGGTACCATCACCATCTTCCCTTATGATCAAGGTTTTTCTAATTAAAGGGAATGTACATCATTGGCAATTGTTGTAATTTTCAGAAATGAACTATTTGAGGGGTTAGTATAATAGATCAAATATTGTTACACTGACATTATTGAAGTTTTGTGTTCGAAAATGCTGGAAAAACTAAGAAAAACAAAAACGTTCGAGGAGTCTGGTTTCCTGACGCCACTAAAGATGAAATGGATCAATTTATAGATGCCAGAAAATTGTAAGGTAATGGAACCACTCTAGCTGGCCTGCACCCGTTCATGAACATGTAACCAATAGCAAACAAAATTTGGACTGAACAAAAATGGTAAATTGGAGCAGTAGTTGAGAAATAGTCAGGTTTTTCCTACGGTGGTCGGCCGACCACCGTTGGAAATTTATACAAAATACCAATTTTCTTGAAAATGACTTCACACCTGGTGCCATAATTTTACAGGATGCTTTAAACTGTCATTTACCAACATCCTAGTAAGGTTTTCGTACAAAAAAGGGTAGTTTTGTCTTCCGACGTTTGCAAATGTTGTATATTCCCTTTAAATCAGTAGGTAACTACCAGTGTTCCCACATGCCTTTAAAAAGAAATGGCAGGACAAGAAACAAACATTTTAACTTGAGTTAGAGGTGGTCTTTATTATACTTAGCGTTCGTGGTAAGGAGTCTAAGAATGATTGGGTCTTTTTATCTTTATTTTCTCCGTTTAGTGTCATCCAAAACATTGCCGATGCAAGACCTAAGACCAGATACTTACTGGCTGTAGACGATTCTCAGAACTCACTGGAGGAGATTGTAAAGGTAATGTAATCATTATTTCAAGTTGTTTTGAGACGCCCCAAATATAATAGAAAGTGACTGAATTGCAACGGCTGTATTAATGTAAAAAATAAATAATTGTTGACATGCGGAGAACTTAATAGAATGTTCTTGTTTTAAAGGCCTAATTGCCACTAAAACAGTAAATCCTCTGTCTTTTATGGACTGTAGATGGACGAGCATTTGTGTCAATCACAGGCATGTCAACCTGTCTCAAATCACTGTTTTTTCCTCATGATCAGTCCAGATTAAGCTTAAAGTTGCACACCCCGTGCTCTTCGAAAATGGATTTTTTTTTTCTCTCAACAAATTTTCAACTTGTGTGTTGTGTTTTAATAACGAAAGAATTACTTTATTCCGATTTTTGGCATCTGCAACCCTCTGAAAAACGGCTTTTATTTTGTGCGCAAGTAGACTTGCCATGCGAGAACCAAATTATTGCCTGGCAGCTAATAATGTGAATTTTGTGAAGAAACAACTTAACTAATCGGCCGTGGAGTTTTTCATTCAATGTCTCATTCAAAAGTGAATAACTGTTATTTATTGTTAAGAAAATAGCAATTGAAAAAATAAATCTATTTTTTGAGGTAAAACTCAGATATGCATGGAAAAGGCATATTTAAGTTATTTTAGAAGTTTCTTTCATAGACCCATTATTAATGGTAATTCAAAGTAAGAACTGGTTGAAATTGATCATTAATTGACAATCTGGTTTTGTTTCTGTGTACCCAGTGCATAAGCACCAATCTCGGTAACGGCAAAGTCAAACACATCACCAAGGAGGATGCACTGCTCAGCAAGGGGCTTTCGGTGAGTTTGTCAATGGATTCCTACTTATCTTCAGGAACATGTTGAGGATGAATTTTAATTCAGGCCATATATGTGTATCATGAGTGACACATTCTTTCAGAGTGAACTAAATATTGTTTGAGTGCCTTCGCTTGGTTGTTCACACACTACAATTCCAGATTCAAAACATTTACAGCATGGAATGATATCAAATTGTAACAATTTATCTTGTTATTTTTCTAACTCTGATTGGCAATTATATGGAAATATGTCTTGCACCTGTCATAATTTCACTTTGTTTCATGCTTTTCACCTTTATTCAAAATTTGGCTTGGAAAAAGCAATGTTTTTTTTCCTCCATTTCATTATATATGGTTTGCAGTGAGGTTTTGATGACAGTCTGGGAGGGGTGTGCATTTTCTTTACTCAAATTTACATAAAATTCAGTATTGTATTGCCCCCTTTCAAGAATTTATTCCCCTCTTGCTTTATCACACTATCCAAAATCTCAGTGTTCAACCTGGGTTGACCAAACCCTGAGATTTGGCTACCCTTTTCACACAGGCAGGAATCTAACTTGGGTTGTACACTGGTCCAGCACTGTACAAGATGTAAACGTCAACTGTGGTCCAGACTAATAAGGTTGTGAGGCTCTAACCATGCAAAAAAATTCAATTACTGCTGTATGAATTGGTAATAGTGTGAACAATATGCCATAGCTGCCTGGTGTTCGATCCAACCTGGTTCAGCTAACAGTAGATCTGTGTTAATTTCAACACGGGTAGGTGAGACGATAGTGTAAAAAGACCTCTAGGATTTTATTCATGCAGTACACATGTACGTTTTTTTTTGTTGATTTCTAGCAACAAGACTTTGACATGCTGCTGACCAATCTTCGGATGGACGGCGTGTACACCAAGGAGAACATGAACATCCGCTGGGTGTCAGAGAGAGGCATCATTGAGAACATTCCTCAGATCATCCAAGAGTTTAAGGCTACGAGGGGTCTTCTGGTAAGTCCTGAACAGACTTTCATGCATCAATGTGGGTTTATTAGTGTTCACTCTAACTGTAGACTGATTCAGCGACATCCGTTTTCTGAGGTGGTACCAGGCTGGCGTGAGTCAAGTTCAGGTAATACGCACGCACTCTGGGCTCCTTTGACCGAAACGGTTAGCAACATGTGCGTGCGAATCGTCTTTAAGAATGCGTGCGGCATGCGTGCGGACGTTGTTCCACCTCAAGATCGGCTTCTAATTTTTTTATTTTTTTTATTTTTTTGGACAACCTTTTTTTTTGCATGGCAACCTTTTTGTATGAATTTGCTCAAGCCAGTAGCTTATTTGCGCGAGTCTTATGTGCCAGTCTAATTTTTAATTTGTTTAACCCTTACTCTCTGAGGGTAGTTTACTGCATGTCAGTTGGTTATGCCAATGCCCTCCAGCTGCAGTTTATTGGAGGATACTTTGTTGTAGCAGTGAAGGCTCCAATTGGCAGGAGTTGGAGGCCCTGGAGGGTACCTGATACTGACCAGCTGGGGGCACTTGATTGTTATCAGAGGACTCTCATTGTTCTCTGTGGCATGTATTGGAGTGCCTGTCCAGTTACCCTTGAAATGACATGGCAGATATTGGAGGGCCATGCAAAAAACATAGGAGATTTTCTTGAGGCACATATTGGCATGCGTTGGAGGGTCTAGTAGGGTAAGGGTTAATGTATAGCTCTGAGTGTACAAGAATTACCGACTCAGGTACTGTGAAAATCCAGCTGCTGACCATACATTGTGTCCTTGGGCAAGCCACTTCACCCCCACTTGCCTCTCTCCACCCAGGAGTATAAATGGGCACCGGCATTAGCTGGGGAGTAACCTGCAATGGACTGGCATTCAATCCAGGGGAAATATAAATATTCTCAGTCGTTTCATGCTACTGAAACCGGAGATAAACACCAGCCTGATGGGCCACATTGGCTTGGGACATACTTTACATACTTTTTTAGTACTGTTTATAAACGAACTGGGATTTTGTATACTTTGTTGAGTTATTTTTGTTAATTTTGGAACAACCAATAACTACAGCGAAATATCTTGCTGTCACAAAGCACTATCTCAGGGTAGCTGCCTCCTCAGTGAGATATTTTCCCACAAGCAGTTTTCTTAATTGTCGTTTGGTGATATTTTTTCGTTTTCCAGCCGATGCGAGGTTGTGTCCTGGGCCCCCCTGCCGTGGGCAAAACCTGTGTGGTGGCTGCACTGTGCAAGCATTATAAACTGCACCACATCAAGATTAAAGACGTCATCGATGAAGCTATTGAAGTTCTGGTAAGTGTCAACTGGGAGCAGATACCTCAATCATCAGAGTGGCCTGCTTAAGTGCCCCGAAACATTTTGAATTCTAGATGCTCTGTGGTGCAATCTGAGGCATTTCCTGGCCACTTTCCCTGACTTTTTAAGCAAAACTTTATCAGTTTTATTTTTTTTTCTTCTGAGTGGAACTTGTCACCGAGTGTTGTTTTGTCACCCAGTGTACGTGCCTGATCATGTGCAATACTTGCTTGAAGTCCGAAAATTAGATCAAATTTAAATATGTAAAAAAAAATCACAGGTAAAGTGTAATTGTTGACTATTTAAAACATGGCTGCTCATAGAAACAACTTGCTGGGAAGTTAAATTGGCCCTTCCTCACCATCCTCTGTGAACTGGGTTTGAATCCCACCTAGGCTTACATGTGGATGGGGATTTGAGTCCCTGGCCTTTTTAAGAAACAACATTCTAAGATTCACTCCTCTAAGACTTATTTTAACAACAGGAGAAGAGTGCAGCCAGAGCCGACGCTGATGAGAACGAAGATGATGACGGCAAGGCACAAGAGGACCAGGAGTTACTGGAAGCCATCATGGAGAGCAAGGAATCCAATAACGGTAAGCTTTTTTGGAGCCGTGCATGCATGAACAAAGAGGGTGCTATAGGCTAACTCAGGATTGTCAAAACCTCTAAGGAAACCTCTAGTTACGCCCTGTCTATTTTCACATTCTCCCCTCAGCATCTCATCCAAACCAGGTCTGAACACAGACTCAAAATGGCAGACTGTTGTAGTCAGCCATTTAAAGTCTAATACCGGCCAATGCATGGATTGTCAGGTTGGCCTTTAATGAAGGGGTCAACCTAATTTAAATATCAACTTGGATACATACTCGTGCGTATTGCCTATGGGCTCCGTGCGCCGACTAAAGAGGGCGCCCTTTTACCTAGCAACAACGTCCGTTGGGTGGGACATTTCGCTGGTTGACGCGCACTCTTCCTTGTGTGTGACGCACGTACACCAGGGGATTTGTACTATGTACACGCAGTGGCCGCGCTTCGCGGCAAATGAATTGCAGTCAGGCAAGATGGCGTCGGTCGGTCACCCCCAACTGTACTTCCTTTGCCGGTGAGGGGGTACTTGTGAACGGAGTGGATATCTCCATTCTGCGTGTGCTTGTTAGCTCAACCAATAAGATCTACAGGTACGAAAAGTTGTCACACTGTGCACAGCAACCCATAAGATCTCAGAAGCACGAGGCTGTTCCCTGTCCTCATATACACATGTGTCTTGAGGTCATTTGTCCGGTCTAATTTAGTGTTGTATTCGAGTCCATCACAAGGCCCTGCAAGTCCTCACAAGTCCATCACAAGTAGTCCAATTCCAATTTAAATCACAAGCTATTCAAATGAGCTTTGACAAAGGCATTCCATTGTTATTGTTCATCCCTTGTTACTTGTGACTGGACTTGTGAATGGACTTTTGATTTACTTGTTACTGTACTTGTGATGGACTCGAAAGCACTGGTCTAATTCAAACCTTGCTTGAAAACAAGGACTAGTCCAGTATTTCCAGTGAATGTTTTCACACCAAGCAAAACGGCTGAATCTGCTCATGCGCTTGAATTTTTTTTTGTATGGAAATATTACCCCTTTCAGGTTACCCTTTTTAAGTATTTCAATTATAGAAACTCAGAAGGCAAACTTATGGTTAAACTGTAAACATTTTCAACCGTTTACTCTATTTGCCCAAACAGAGAGGCAATTTCCACAGTCAAATTTGATACTGTAGACTTGTGAATTAGTCAAAAGAAATTGACGATTTTAACAAATTGCTAGTGTAAATTTATTTTGGATGTTTTTGTGTCGAATTTCAACCCTCTGGAGACGATCTGAATGAAGCGATGTATGATATGTACACAATTTTGTAGCAGAGTTTGACTTAATAGCAAGATTTATATCATTCTGGGGTTTTTTCTTGTGACTATTTCTTAGGTCGCATCGAGGACCAGTACATCCTTCGCTTTTACCGTGACAAGCTTCATTCCATGCCGTGCCAGAACCAAGGCTTTATACTTGACGGCTTCCCTAAGACTATGGAGCAGGCTAAGGAACTCTTTGCTGGTAAGGATCTAGGGGAGGGGAAGGGGTGAGGAAGGGGTAGGAGGGAGGAAGGGGTAGGGGGATTATGTCAGGAAGGGGAAAAGGGAGGGGTGGGGACTGGGAAGTGACTGATCGATTCAGCATACCTCATGGAGTTTGTTGGGGGGTTTCACCAGTTAGAATAATAAAAAGTTAATCAACTAAAAATCTAGCATTACTACCCCTGCTGATTGAACCATGAATCATTTTGAAATGTTCCCTCCTAACACCCTCCAAGTGTGCTGAGGATTATTTTATTTCTTCGTGCTGTTACTGGATACATTTGTGTAACTGGTGAGCAAGGGTGAAAACTTAATGTGGACAAAATGTGTTGGTGGTTAGCTACCAACAGCGCTTTACCTTTTCTTTACAATATTTCGTGCAAGCGATAATTCACTAAGGGGCAATGGCACCTTATTTCTTGGTAGGAAAAAAAACAATTTCAGCGAAGCATCTTTTATCAATCATAATCAGCCACTTGATCCCCAATGGGAGTCCAGCCCCATTTTTTTACCACTTGACGCTGGGAATAGTTTTGGCCGAAAAACATCATTTTTGAAAAAGAGAAGATATATCAGCCAAATTTTAAAAGTAAGTCAAACACAACTAACACTAACTCATGAGAGTCCTTTGCAATTTTTGTACAATACTTCTCACCGTACCTTCATATTTTGCAACACTCTGAGGCCCCGCCACGGAGCGATTTTTGCTAGGATGACAGGCTGTGTACAGCAGCCAAGTTCAAGTTCAACACACGGTGTGTACAAAAATAATGAGAACCACTGACGTGCACACACATCCACCGCCGGAGACTCTGGGAAAGCTTGATCATATAACCCATCACCTGGCCATGCGAATATACATTGCCAGATCGTGTTTACATGTCCTCGTGCGTTTACTGGTTATTAGAAACTTACACAACATTTGTTTGTGCTCAATGAAATTCAACGTTCACTTTTACAAAGGAAGAATGAAACTATTGATCTTTTCATCTTTGTTTTTCAACAGCTGAGGATGAAGAGGAGCAAGATGAGAACAGCAAGGTGCCCATCTATGACAAGACCACCATGCCGGAGCTAGTGGCCTCCTTGGAAGCACCGGACGACTTCTTGAAGAAGCGAGTCATGAACCTCCCTGAGAATACGGTGGCTGGTACCCACAACAACGAGGAAGGCTTGATCCGACGGCTGACGGAGTACCGGGCAGTCAATGAGGAGGACACCACCGTGCTTAACTACTTTGACGAACTGGAGATCCACCCTGAACATATTGGTGAGTAACTGCTTAGTAATTGGTGGAATAAGGATTTACATTTGTATTTGCACTTTGCTAAGAAATTATATGTAATATGTTTAGGGCCCAATTTCGCAAACAGACAACGTTGCTTATCCAAAATCAGTGGATAATCAGTCATATGCATGGTATGCCATTTTGGCTGGTAACCTGTCTTTGCTGAGGAAGAATTGTCTGTACTTCGCAAATTTCTGTGCTTGGCAGCCCTGTGCAATAGGCCCTGGCCATGTTTCACGTACAAGTTAAATATGCACGGATTGGTTACCAGTGCGCTAGTCTACTACGCATGCACTTTACGAAGCAATTGTATAACTAGCGCACGGGGGTAGTGCGCACGCGCGAACATCGCCCTAGCTAGCAGCATGCAGCAGCTACATGAAAAGATGGGGCACAACAACATTTTGCCGAGAAGAAACATATGCATAACTTCATGAAATTTTTGTGAATGTATATGAGGTATAGTAAAAGAAATGAAACATGGTTTAGAGTTTGGGATTTTCGCCTCGGGAACTAGTTTTCAACTTCCAATACCTCAGGGAGCTAATATCGACTATCAAACCTCAAACCATGTTTTATTTGTATACCGTAATTCATTTAATTTTGATCAAATGCTGGTATGTCAATGATGGTTGGACTAGTCTAACTGACTATTTGTGACCAGCCTAATGGGGATGGTTGCATCGCTGGTTACCAATGGCCGTGTGCATCATAACACACAGCAGGGAACCAGGACCAAGAAGTTTGGGTGACGTTTGGACCAGTGTTTGGCTAGTGAAATTTGCATGTTACTATCAATTGGCAGGTGTAAGTAACATCATGAATAAACTGGTACTTGACCAATGGTCCTTGATTGAACTTGTTCATGTCTCCTCCCTGAATCCAGACATGACCAAGGAGGTGGACCCCAACAACGCCACCATCGTGGAGCAGGTCGTCAAGATCATGGGGGAGCCCCGCAACTACGGCCCCACCTCGGATGAAGTCGAGGAGATGGAGCGCACCGAGACGGAGAAACGACTCAAGAAGGAGCAGGAGGAGAAAGAGGAACGAGAGAGGCAGGAGGCAGAGGAGTCAGCGCTCAGAGATCAGAGAGAGAAGGAATGGGTGAGTGCAGCCAAGCCACTGCGGCGACAGTGAAGGGTACCAATCAAATCCAGCCTAGACAATATCGGCTTTCAGGCCAATGAAATTCTGAACATACTTTAGCTTTACGCATGCTTTAATCATGCCAGTGCAAGTGTGTGAGAAGAGCTACAGCCGAACCACCGAACAGAACTAAAATTTGTCGAACATAGCACTCCGAACCGAACTGAATTGTTCAGTTTGGATATTGAGAAACGCAATTTTTAGTGTCGCGTATTTTTAACAGTGCAATCAAAATAATCTAAACTTGCACCATAAAATTATCAAATTTTACTTCTACTTAAAACAGAAGGATATTTTAGGCAAACAGTACTGACTTGGTTTGCCAACGCTTCTTATGCTCTTAATCTCCATCAATGTGAAAGAAAAAAAATATGAAAGGGGTAAATTTTCTGATGGTTTTTGATGTCAAAATTGTTGAGATGTGTTTTTGGTAAGACAAAAATGGGCTATACGGACATGTTTTTTACATACGGAACTCAACTCTCTGAAACATTTTGCACTTCGAGCACGTAAAAAACATGATTTTGTTTTTTTTCGCGTGGTAAGGCAGCGGCAGTGTGGCATAACCAGGTTTATTCTGGCACGGGAATGATTCCTACAAATTAAGGTAAACTAAAGGTTTATTACGCACAAAGACGATTATCAGGTATCGTCACACAGCAACTCAATTTGATGTTCTAATCTGCTGCAAAATTCGAGCTGAACCAATGTTCAGATAAAAATTGCAAAACCGAAACGAACCGAACCTGAGGTATAGTCCCGCAAGAACTCAATTTGACGTTCTGATTTGCCGCCAAACTGGAACTGAACTAATGTTCGGATAAAAATTGCTGACCCGAATTGAACCCGAACCGAACCTGAGGGCTCACTTTCAGCACTATGCATGAGATATGCTCAGAATTTCTTGGATCCAAGTTTCGATAGCATTTACTGCTGAAGTAGCTCAGCTGCTATTGTAGTGGACTGGCTGCGTTTGGGGAACATAAATTAAATCCAGACAAGTGTGGGAAGGACAATACATGTGCACCCTGGTCCATGCAAAGTTTGAAACGAGTACACAAACTACTAGTTCGAATGTGCACAAACCAATCAGAGACTTTATCTGAGCATAGGTGAACAGACGCAACGGTGCTCCACTAGTACCCTTATTCTCTCTATCTTCTTCACAGTTGATGGGTTACTCATGCACAAAGCTCCAGTATTTAAGCTGTCGGGCTCTGTGACTAATTTGTTGATTATAAGTCCTTCAATTGCAACATTCTGTTCTTACTTCTTCTTTTTTTGCCCTCAGGCGGAGAGACTTGAGGAGGTCAAACGTCAGGAGACAGAGCAGCTAGAGAACCAGTCCATTCCACTGCGTAACTACCTGATGAAGCATGTCATGCCGTCCTTGACCCAGGGATTGATCGAGTGCTGTAAAGCCAGGCCAGATGATGCCATCGACTTCCTGGTAAGAAATCTCAATGTAAACCCTCTGCATTCGGCAGCAAACTGCGAGGTGTTTTTGTGTTATTTTAATTCAGTAAAATTGAATGCACAAGAGGTCAAGCCATGCGTATCTCTGTGGAACATCAGCACACTCACTCCATTGTTTGATTGTGCCCTAAAGTAAAGTCCAGTTTGCTTAATTTGTTTAACTACTCCAACATTTTCGGCCAAAAAAATAATATTTCACAAGTTCCTCCTTCCCCTTTAAAAAGAGTTGAACTATTGACCCTGAAATCCTAGCAAAAAAATTTAGTCCCTCTGTTGTTTGTCTAATAAAATCCTTACAGTGAGTTTAGCTGGCCAGCAGGGCATGAATAATCATTCATCCTGTCGACAAGACTTGTCAGCAAGCTCAAGTGACAGTTTTCTGACTATAACACCCCAAATTGATAGACAGCACTTAAATTGGTAGCATGGATTTGGACCCCTTTCCCTATTCAAAGGTGTACTGTAATTAACAGTACGACCGTGGAACCGTGGGTATTTAAAAAAGGACAGTGAGGCATAAAGATGGCACCTCCCCGTGACCGCATGAGGGCGCTGTTATTGTTGGCGTGAGGTGGGGGATCTTTTAGACTGAAATAGGTTATAAAATTGGGCGTTAACGTTCACCCGAGTTATGTTAAGTGCACTGTATACTCGTTGCTGCCCAAGAGCTAGTGAGAAAACATTTCACAAGGTTTAGTGGGTGGGACAACCTCCTGAAGATGTCTTGTAACTGAACCACTGACCTTGGGGTCAGCTGACTGGTTTGAATCCAATATAGCAGCAGTTACCTGTTCCCATCTTTCCTACAGATATTACAGCATATTTCATCAATGAAATTACATTTGGTTCTTTTTTGGCAGAAGGATTATTTTAAAACTCTTTCCTGGAAGTACTTCTGTCAATTCAGGATATTACTTTAAAAAAATGCTAAGTTGAATCCTTTATTGGTAGGGTAAAGAGTTTTAGCCTTATGCTTAAAGGGAATATACAACATTTGCAAACATCGAAAAATAAAACTACCAAGTTTTTACGAAATACCTTACTAGGATGTTGGTAAATGACAGTCTCAAGCATCTTGTAAAATTATGGCACCTGGTGTGAAGTCATTTTCAAGAAAATGGTATTTTTGTAAACATTTCCAACGGTGGTCGGCCGACCAGCGTTGGAAAAACTTAACTATTTTTCAACTACTGCTCCAAATTTACCATTTGTTCAGTCCAAATTTTGTTTGCTATTGGTTACATGTTCATGAACGGGTGCAGGCCAGCTAGACTGGTTCCCTTGCCTTACAATATTTTCCATCATCTATAAATTGATCCATTTTATCTTTTGTGGAGTCAGGGAACCAGACTACTTGAATTTTTTTGTTTTTCTTGGTTTTTCCAACCTTTTCGAACACAAAACTTAAAAAATGTCAGCGTAACAATATTTGATCTATTATACTAACCTCTCAAATAGTCCATTTCTGAAAATTACAGCAAAAGCCAATGATGTACATTCCCTTTAACTCTCTATGCCTGGTAATCCTTCCAGTCAAAGTCATCTGCTTCAGCGTTGTATCTCATAAATACCTGGAGCTAATACTGGTGATGGGTCAGGATTTCCCCTCTCTCTATTTTTGACGGTGGATTTATTTACCGACCGTGATTAATCTTTGTTTCAATTTCCTTTGTGCAGGCGGAGTATCTGTTCCGGAACAACCCACAGGTGGATTAGCTGCTGTTGTCCCCAGATGCGTCTATTTTGAAAGATTGAATCTGAACAGTGCAACGCATATAGGGAGGTCTATATGAACCCTAACCCCTTGAATGATTTACTAGGATCCTTCCTCACTCCTGCAAAATCCGACACCATATGGTAAACTCAACACCCAAACTGTTGGACTCTGATTATAGTGGTACGCCCGACCCCAGGTAAAGCATAATCAGTTTACTAGTGCAGTGCTCACTCCAACAGAATCCAACAAACATGCAGTTGGATTTTGAAGGGTTGGGAGGTGTGGCATTCACTGCCGAATCCTGCTCTCAAAGAAAGGTCACAAAATTAGGAAACAAAACCACGACAGAATATTTTGATATCCGAGGGTCACTTATCTTTCAAAACCTCTGAAAATGATATTTTGAATACTAAAGGATTTCTCTGATTGTTTGTCTTGATTTTTCCAGCAGTCAAACCGATAAAGGTGGTTACATAATCAAGCTACTTCCATGAAAGGCAACTTCAGGTTTTTGATAAGAGACATGCTGTGGTTGGTCTCAAAATTTTCAATTTTTCAGACAACTTTATTTTGACACAATTTTGCTTTATACATCCCATTTGTTTTCCGATGAAATGCATTTAATCCGATCTGAATGGAGGAAAATATTGTTCATCTTGTAAATATCTTGTACGTCTAAGCAGTTGTTTCTCTATAGTTTTGATTATTAATCCGTCCAAACCTCAATATGAGACCATTTCTGTGTATACTTCAATGAGGCCGTGAGAAAGCATCTGATTTTTCTGAGCTTTGTAAAAATTGTGATTGTAAATTTAAAAGGGTTAGCTGTTCTGGATTTGTTAACATCCGTTCATTATTTCACACATTAAATAATTTTTAACTTGAATGTCAATTCACCAATGTTCTAAAATTGTACATTTTTGTTAACACAAAAGCTGTAACTGTAAATTAAAGGTAGCAAGTGCCTTTTTGGTTGTTCACTGTTTAAATAAATAATAAAAGTTTGTCTTAAAAAAAGAGAGAAAACAATTCACGGGCAGAATTTTCATCCGTCCATTATATTTCAGTTACAGATGCGTTTATTTGAGAATAACTTGGTTTTCATATCTAGAAAAAGTATTCATCAGACCTTGTTTAAATTAAAAAAAATTGCTATTGTGATATCTGAAGGATATCTAGTTCATTGCAGTCTGTCATTTTTTTGTTTGATATTAACCCATTAGAAGTGTGAAGCGACATTAAAGGGAATATACAACATTTGCAAACATCGAAAAACAAAACTACCAAGTTTTTACAAAATACCTTACTAGGATGTTGGTAAATAACAGTCTCAAGCATCTTGTAAAATTATGGCACCTGGTGTGAAGTCATTTTCAAGAAAATGGTATTTTTGTATACATTTCCAACAGTGGTTGGCCGACCACCGTTAAAAAAACCTAACTTTTTTTCAACTACTGCTCCAAATTTACCATTTTTTCAGTCCAAATTTTGTTTGCTATTGGTTACATGTTCATGAACGGGTGCAGGCCAGCTAGACTGGTTCCCTTGCCTTACAATTTTCCATCATCTATAAATTGATCCATTTTATCTTTTTGTGGAGTCTGGGAACCAGACTACTTGAACTTTTTTGTTTTTCTTGGTTTTTCCAACCTTTTCGAACACAAAACTTCAAAAATGTCAGTGTAACAATATTTGATCTATTATACTAACCCCTCCAATAGTTCATTTCTGAAAATTACAGCAAAAGCCAATGATGTACATTCCCTTTAAACATGATTTTATCAGCAAAGATGAAGTCTTGAAACAAGTGCTGTTCCTTTACAAAAAAAATTGTAACATGAAACAAACATGAAGGAAAATTATGTGCGTAGTTTTGGCTCCTATTTTGCACTGGTACTTCCACCCAGCCTAGGCCTTTCGCCTGCTTATCAAACGTATCTACGCAACATAATTAGATCACAAGCCAACTTGGACAATTATTGATTTTTTTAAGAAAAACAAATTCCAGGTGAATTACTTGAACTTGACCTCTAGAAACGATATCCATTTTACCAGTAATTAAGGCTAGAAAGACGAGAAAGCATGCACTGACCTGAAATCTTGGCTTCTGCAATAGAATCGCTTGTTGGCGCCTGTACTAGAACAACGGGGCGCTGTGGTGCAATGGTTACGGTGTTCGACTCGGATGCCGTGGTAAACGGGTTCGAATCCTGATCGTGGGAAGAAGGCTAAAACATGGTGCTTGTGCTCTTGAACAAGACACTTTACCATTATTGCTTCGTCCTTCGGGTAAAGCCGTAGGTCCCGTGTGTTGTGTAATGCACGTTAAAGATCCCAGTAACACTTGTCGCTAAGAGAAGGGGTTTGCCCCGGTGTTTCTGGCAGTGGCAGTAATATGCGCCACAGCACCTAGCAAAAAGGTGCTACATAATGGGTCTCATAATGTTCATATATACTTCATTTACCTGTATTTGGTTGCATTCTCCCCCGGCGCTATATAAATACGGTTATTTTATTATTATTATTATTATTATTTATTGCAACAGTTCGGGTGCGTGGAAGAAGGTCGCTAGGGCGAAAAATGGGTCGCCGGCAAGGGGCAAATTTGGATTATTCGGGTAATCGATAGAGCATTGAAATATCTTTCATTTGATATACATTATTTTTGTCTCAAGGAGCTGCGTCATTCTGACGTAATTAACAGTATGCAACTTCAGACGGGAGGAGGTTTTTCATTATTTTTTCCAGCAAAAGGGTGTTAGCATGTAATATTAATGTAACAGAATATGTTCCAAGTGCGCTAACGACCCACTGAATTGGGTACGTAAAGCCAAGTTTATTTCCAGCAAACTTAAGGACGTTATGATTTAACATGCCGCTTAAGCGCAAGTTTAAGACAGGGGGAGTTCCCGGTGAAAGGTCGTTAGCATAAAAATGTAAATAACGTCAAAATTAAGTAATGCTTTGAAATAAACATGCACAATATTTTAATTATTAACGAATTTCATGAGTCAAAGTTTCAGCCGTTGCAATTTAGAAATGGGAGCACAAAACCTTTGAACTTGATTATTACCAAAAGTGTTTTTGCGTCCTTTTCCTTGGCGCGCGACTGTTGTCTCAAAGGACGCGTTGGTCACCGTGTATGACAATAGACCGAATGGAAATTGGATTTGTTCGTTTTAAAGTCCTTGTGTCCCTAAGCATCGAGTAATCAACACGTCTGTGTGGGGTGTGTCCTCCATGGTTTGGGCGAAGTGTTCGGTTCTTGGCTGTGTGTGCAGTGACTTCGTCATACCATGGGGCTATAAAGCTCCATAGTCTTACCATACACGTGCACGCACCACTGATCACATAGCGGTCAAGTTGCACTTACTTCTGGTTCCATTGGTTCAAATGCTACACCACTGTGAGCAGTACGCATGGTCAAGTTGGAATGACGTCACACTTACGAATCGGATATCCTAGACAAACTGAAACAGGCGGGATCTTTGAAAGAGCACGGAGCAAATTTCGCCGTGATAGTCAAGTGAATGAGAAGCTACTGAACACTAGTCTTGTGCATTATGCTGAAGAGAAAAAATCGCACGCAGTCACTCACTAGATAATTATTATTATGTGGTTTCGTTAGTGTTTAGGCTTGCTTATAACAATTGCATCCCAGTCAATGATCAGATAAATGGCATCATTTTTCCTCTCCGAACAGTCGCTGCCACCGAAACACTCTATGACCGATCTTTGCAAATCTTCAGGCGCTGTTTCCCTGAAGTTCACGTGAAAGGTGAGGAAATCCAGCAGCAGGCCGCCTTCCTCCGAAGCTTGGTCGAAGCACTTGGTGATGTCTAGGCGCACTGGATAGGGGTGCTGCGTGAATGGTATGCCACGACGGTCTAAGGAGCTGCGTATGTCGGCCGAAGTGCTGTAGTTATGGTCGCTCGGTTGAAGACATGGAAAGCGTGTCCTATACCGACTCAATCCAGTGTTTTCTGAACAACAAAAAATGAAACGCTTTACAACTTCAATCAGCGAAGGGTTTGTTTTCGATATTACAATGTAGAACACTGATTTGCTTTCATTTTAGGCTCCACAGTGTCATTGGATATAAAGCGCGTCCCAAAATACCCGCAACATTTTGTTTTCGAGGCTCTAGCGTCGCCGCGGAAACACGTACCGCCATTATTCTTATATCATTTTAAAGCTTGGAATCTTAACTTTATCCCTGGAAAGTATTGGTTTTATTTTCAAAAGGGTTTTGAAATGATTCGTATTCAAATAAAGGCATGTCAAAAACAAACTCAACCGATTTCAAGGAAAATCAATCATACGCATTTTTTTCTGATGTGGAAATGCTTCACCATGTTCATGTGACGATCTCGTTGCGTTTTACTTTCTGACTGTGTTTCCTTTTCTTTTCGATCCATGTAGACTACACCTTAAACAAATTTACAATATTGTACTTCGTTTTAATTTCAAGGTGTTTTTAATTTAAATCAACTTTTTTTTTATTTTTAACAGCTTGTTGACTCGAGTTTGCATCTGATGTACTGCATCAGATGAAATCCGTTGAGTTTGTTTTCGACATGCCTTTATTTGAACGCGAATAATTTTAAAACTCTTTTAAATATCAAACCAATACTTGCCAGGGATAAAGTTAAGATTCCAATCTTTAAAATGGTATAAAAATAATGGCGGTACGTGTTTCTGCGCCGACGCTAGACAAGGGCGGATCCAGAACACAATTGTTGGGGGGGGCCAAAAAAAATTTGGACCCCCAAAAAAGTGGGTCAAAAAAATTACGGCGTGGGGTTCGGGGCCCGCTTAAGGGCCCCGAAATTTTTTTGGATTCTAGATGCTCTGTGGTGCGATCTGAGGCAATTTCTGACCACTTTAACCAATGTTTTTTTGAGGAAAAGATGGTGGTGTACTCATTGCCTGCCTTTATTGCGATGTCACATAAAAAAAAAAAATTGGTCTCGTTTTTTTGGGGGGGGCCATGGCCCCCTTTGCCCCCCCCCCTGGATCCGCCCTTGACGCTAGAGCCTCGCAAAAAAAACGTTGTTGGTAGTATTCTCAGGCAACTGGACTAGCTGCCGTTCTGTACAAGAAAGAGGTTTGCGAATACCGTGTACATATAGCTATATATCTTCCATGATTTCGTTTCGGAATGTTTTATGACGTTTGGACACCATCATTTCCGACAGACACAGTCGACTGTTAGGCAAAATAAAAATAAAAACATGTTTAGCGTCCTGCCTCTTTGACAAAAAGGAAGGAGGAGGCCCTTTTTTTTTTTTTTTTTTTCAAAATGGCCGCCCGACACATTTTTCAAGACAACGCGGCCGGGCTATTTTTCAAGATGGTTACCAGCTTTTTTCAAAATGGCCGCCACTTGGACTCAGGAAATGACATATTGGCTTCTTATGGGCAAGATGCAACAGAAAATGAGACCAAAATGATGTAACTATGCAGAACGGAACATCTCTTCTGCGCAGAGATCGTTAAAATTTATCAATTTTTGTCTTTAAAAAAAAAAAAAAAAAAAAAAAAAAGGAGGCGGCCTCTAAAAAGGAAGCGGGCGGGGACGCTAAACATGTTTTTTTTTTACTTCGCCTTATGTCCGAAACGTCGAGAAAGCACTCTCACAACCAGATTTGCAATGCCTCGGACTTTATTGAGTCATACTGTCCATTACTGGGTAGCAAGATTCCGTGACTTGACTGTACTCAGGTCGATGTACTAAAATTACTCGACTCGAGTAATTGCGAGTCAAGCCTCGACTTGACTCAAGCCAAAGGTTCATGAACTCTGTATGGATTCCTTAAACTATAGCGCATGGAGAACATGCGGTCTCTATTACAAGTTACACTTCACGATAAGTTTGCTTGCCCCTTGCAGGGCTCATAAGTATCGCAGACTCATACTCTCAAGTTTGATTAAATTATGTTGGCGGTCATTAGAATAAGTATAGGCTACCTGACATATGGATCACAAGTATTGCTCCGCCAGGGATCAGGCAGTTGTACAGATACTCCAGGGAGCTGTCATAGTCGTGCAGGTGGTACATGCAGTGAACTGCGCTGATGAAGTGGAACTTGGTCGCATCTCCCGCCTTCTCGTATTGCTCGAGCGTCTGCTGCCGAAAATCACACTCGACACTTTGTAGTTCGTGAGCCTTGGATTGAGCCAATGCCTTGTACTTGCCAAGCAACTCCCGAGAAGGCTCAACTACACGATTGTTGATGCGTGGAAATCGCCTCTTCAGCTTCTCCAACATCGCACAGTCCATTTCACCTATACGAAGCCATGATAAAAACTTGGTGTTTATTGTAATGCACTTGCCAAAGACATAGCCAATAATTATTTAGCAGCTACGCCAGCGCGCCAGCTATTTCGAACGATTTAATTACCATAATAATAAGAGGTCGATAGCTGTCAATGCGGAACAGTACAGGGCAATCTCCGATCCGCGTTTAGAAGTTATGGATATCTGTGAATGTCCATTCTAACTTGAAAACTCCTCACGGTGAATATAGAGTGTTGTGGGGGGTGGGGGGTTAAGAGGGCAAAAGTTTGAAATCGGATGGAAAAAAGATGATAGTTCAACAAGGTATAAAGCTCGATTGACTTTGATAGCGCAATGTTTATATCATTCACGTTTATATCATATTGCCCACCGACTGGTCATTATAACAAGCGTTTGTTAATGCATATTCGCCCTTAACAGGGCTAACTCTCCAGGTAAAGGGCTGACAAGAGAAATTAAAGGAAGAGTATATGGGTACTGGCAGGAAAACTGAAGGTATATATGAGTTAACATTCCTTTTGAAACAAGACAGATCATAGGTTGGAGAGAAACAAGCACCAGGCAAGGAATGCCAAAGAGATGCGCCACGTGGGAAAATTGAAAATTGGCCTAAATATATTTTTTTCTACACCTAGAAAATATCATCTTGTTCTATATCTATAGCAGCAGTATATTTGGATGAGAACAACCCCCCCCCCCAAAAAAAATTCTCTCTCAAGTACTCTGATTGGAGGAACCAGGTTGGACAGACTTTATAGTGGAGCAATGGCCATAAACATGTCAATAAAACAAGGGTGACAACACTGGACATGTTTCATGTTTTCACTGATCTGTACTTATGTAGTCCTTGCGAACGGAGGGGGGGGGGGGGGGGATCATGGTGCCTTATTCCCCAGAATAGAAATGAACTGAATGGAAACCGACAGTTCTGAATTTCTGATCTCATGGCACTCACTGCAGATAGATGAATCACGCAATAAGTAATTTACACCCTAGGGCGGATCCAGGGGGGGGGGGGCCAAAGGGGGCCATGCCCCCCCCCCCCAAAAAAAAACGAAACCAATTTTTTTTTTTATGTGACATCGCAGTAAAGGCAGGCAATGAGTACACCACCATCTTTTCCTCAAAAAAACATTGGTTAAAGTGGTCAGAAATTGCCTCAGATCGCACCACAGAGCATCTAGAATCCAAAAAATTTTCGGGGCCTTAAGCGGGCCCCGAACCCCACGCCGTAATTTTTGTGACCCACTTTTTTGGGGGACCAACATTTTTTTTTTGCCCCCCCCCCCCAAAAAAATTGTGTTCTGGATCCGCCCTTGTTTACACCTGGACGATACATATACGACGGCAATAGTACGCATGCACAGTTTAGTTCTACACAGCGACAAAGGTATCACAATATGGAGCCTAATAGGCCTACACGTACCTGACCCACTGCCCACTCCAAGGACCCGTAGCTCTTCTCGTCCGTCCATTGTGGCCTGGAGCTTACCAACCACCGCCTCGCTAAACACACCGTCCACCCAGTCAGAGTACACCCTGAATTTGGCAGACCGAGCGCAGAAGACTTTGAACGCCTTGGCATAGTGGCTCGGATCGCTGAGCAGACTCTGTAGTGATTTTGTGTCCATGTTCTCTTTTCTGCTTGATTACTCCAATATTTTGACAGCTGTAGACAACCTGCAGATAGGTTGACGGATTTTGACCCAACTGACTTAAATAGTCTCAATCATGAAAAGATTAAAATTTGAAGAAATTACGAAAATATTAACATTGATCCTCGCAGAAAAAAATCTGCATGGAATCAAGGAACCATATCATATGAATCAAAATGCCATGTACGGGGATATTTTTCCGAGTATTGTAGCAAAACGACTGTACTATACTATACGTTAGAAAACTTCAAGAACCGCCTTTTAAATATTGAACTGGCTGGTCTACATTAAGGTACTAAAAAGCTAGTTTGCACCGACTCCTTGCATTGCGCTAACTGTACGGGATAGCCACACCAGGCGTTTGTACAGAAGCTAACAGATGCAGATGCAGATATACTTATATACTGATCTAATAATAGGGGGCCTACTGTACTAATATACTGATCGACATATTTAAACAAAGACTCACCTGTCGTTCGTAGGTAGGCCTACTTTGTGGCGGCAGTGGCACAATACATATCACAATATAACGACGTACAGTCACAATCGGGTGAAAAGTCGAAGAGTTCAAGGTAGCCTGTACATTGACCAACACACTGGGTCGATCCGTCACGGACGCGGGTTAAATTAATATGAAACGTACACACGTACATCACGAAAACAGTGGATTTATTTTTTCCTTTAGAACAACTTTTACCGTAAAATGTGGACCATGTTTTCCAAGAAAGATGGACGAAATTCTCGAAAATAACATGTGTTTTCCCTCTACATCTTTCTTTGGTTATGCATTATATAGACAAAGAAAACGCCAGTACATGTGTACACTTGTACACAGCCGGTCAAGGATACACTGCATGTACCATAACGTCCAGATTAGACTTCGCTCAAGAGGTTAGGTGATTTGTGCTGTATGAGTAAGGTGTGATTCGATCGTTCCTAGAATTTTAACTGGAGTACTTAGTTTGTTTTATAGCCCAGTAGCGGTTGCAACCACCCAAACCCCAAGTTCAGCCGCTGGGGCCAAAGTAGTAAATGGAACGCTAAAGTTCCTAAATTTATTCTCATCTTGCCTAATTAGAATGCAGGAGATAGTATCGTAGATTTTCAAAATTGTCTGTGGTCATGCCCCGGACCCATGCTTTAATTCTGCACGCCTGCACTCCCCCCCCCCCCTTCACATAGACCCGGTACCCCCGTGACCTGAAACCTAGATCCGCCCCTGTTGATTATCCATTAAAGTTGACTGCGTTACCGGATTGTATTTTTCTCGCTGAGCACACTGTTTTTTTTTTGTTATATTAAATTCATTGCTTGACGATTCCTCTCGAAAAGAAATAGTGTTAATGAATTCACAAGTTTGCATTTGTGTATAGCGCCCTCTGTCAGATGACTTTTGAGGACACAACTGAGCCACGAACAAACACACATTAGCACATGTAAAATCCCTTCATGTCAGACATCTTTGGACGATATTTTCTGAGAATCGTTTGAGGTTTTGTCTCTTTTGAGACCCAAGAAACTGAAATAAGAGGGAAAGGATGCAAGGAGGTAATTTAGAGACTCTTGTAATTCTTGAGAAAGAAGTGTAAACCATATATTTGATTCATTTTATAAGATAATTCTGCGATCAGTTTTGACATTCTGTAGCTCAAAATTGAGTGTGATTTTCGTATATGTTTAACCATTGAATTTAGGAATTTGGATTAAGTGATGATTTATGTACGATGCTTTTATAATTTCTGTAATACTCTGTGAACTTAAGGACATTTACTTTGTTTATATATTCACAGTTTTCACGAAGCCACTGCGAACCATTTCATGGAAGACTTGCGAATCATTTTCATGGAATAAATGCGAGATGTTATAATCAACGGCTTCTGTAGAGACCCTTGTTTACTCCTTAGTTACCGACCTTTGACCTAGATGTGACCTGTGACCTAGATGTGACCTGTGACCCCCTGCGAAACCCCTAGTAGTAGCACTACGAACACCTAAAAGACTGCACCTCGAAATTGATTTAGTGCTGCCGCTACAGTGAAAACTCCTGCGTAACTTAAGCAGTCTTTGCTACAAGAACTTCCCCCTGCGTGATCAGTGATTGTGCGACACATCCTCACATCTGGAGACGAGGCTGTACCTGCGTTGAGTACTGATGAGATGGCTTCACTCTTGTAGCTGCGACACGAGTGCCCGTTCCGGTACCATCAACCATCGACCCTGCGACCCTGCGACCTGTCGTCCGTTGCGACCGTGACTTCCGTCCTACCGGACATCATGGACATGGGATTTCTTGATCATCAAGACTTCATCGTGGATCTTTGAACTGGACAGTAAAAACTGAGTTTGCGTCTATTTGTGCATTTTGAATTGCATAATTGTAATTTGCATTTGTGATTTGATGCAAATTGTTATTTGATTTGAGCTTTGTTGATAACAATTCAGAATTTGTTCCAGAATATAAATATACTGTATGCGATACATGTACACTGAATTATAGTGGTATTGAGATCAATCACATTGTTTGCCATTTTCCGTTCACGTGCGAAGTGTATTTTACTACAAGTATTGCATGTACATGTGTAGTGCTAGTTACATGTACATGTACATGTACATAGGTGTGTATCATTGAACATACATGGTGTATATGCAATTGTTTTACATGTAAGTTGGATTTGGTGATACAAGTAGATTGCACAAATTTATTTGTGTTTATAATTGTACCTTTTGTTGATTTTACACCCATTGAATTTGAGCAAAGAGTTACATACTAGATAGTATTAACTGTTTGTTGATTAAGTTTTGAAACTTGATATACATGTAAGTCTACATCAGTACATGTGTTCTGTACGCCATGGCTGACTCAACAGAAGAACGAAAGCAGTCTTCGCCTACACCCTTCCTCGTTCCTACACCAGAAATTCCGGAAACACCAGATGCGCAACCCCCCTCTAGTGAACTGACATCAATACTCTGCAACCCACAGCTTCTTCAGCAAATTAGAGATCATATCTTGAGCAAAGAAGAACGCCTCAGCGGACGTTCAAGAGCCACCAGATCTTCAAGGCAATCTTCAAGATTTTCAGGAGTTTCGGTCAAGGCAACGCTTGCTGCCGAGGCAGCTGCCTTGAAAGCGAGGCTTGAGTTTGCAGATGTTGAAGGAAAACAGAGAGCAGAGGTCGAACGGCAACAAGCTGAACTCAAGAAAATCCAAACTTTGACAGACCTGCATGAAACCGAAGCAAGGTTAAAGGCCATCGAGCAATCAGAACGAGAAGAATATGCTGAAATTGTGATTGATGCTGTGAAGGAAACAGACAGCAAAACTTCACTAGTAGAAGAATACATCAAATCCCTGCCTACCCCGAACGCTACTCATGGAGCGGATGAGTCTGCAGTAAAGTCAGTCTCACCAGTAGGAACACCGGAAATTCCACAGCCAGACCAAGACTCTAGTACATCACAGCAGCAGATCAAAAACGAGTTGAGAACGCCCAGTCCACAGACTACGCTGCAAGATCTCACAAAGACGTTTGCAGAGCAGATAAACCTGAGTCGTCTACCGACGCCAGAGCCTGGTGTATTTACTGCCGACCCCCTTAAGTATCCAAGATGGAAGCGTGCCTTCGAAATACTCATCGAACAGAGGGGCATCCCACGCTCAGAGAGACTCCACTACCTACAAAAGTACCTGGGTGGAGCTGTGAAGGAGTCCATTGAAGGCTACTTCTTCCTCTCAACTGACGATGCATTTGACAAGGCAAAGGAGCTTCTTGAGAAGAGATTTGGTGATCCCTTTGTTGTCGCCAACGCTTTCCGCAACAAGCTGGAATCATGGCCCAAGATCTCTCCTCGTGATGGAACTGGGATGCGAAATCTTGCTGACTTCCTCGGTCAGTGCCAGGTGGCTATGGAGACAATTGGTAGCCTCCAGGTACTCGATGACGAAAGAGAGAACAGAAAAGTACTCGTCAAGCTCCCTGACTGGTTGATCAACAAATGGGCTAGAAAGGCTGTGGAGTTCAAAGAAAAACAGAAGAAGTATCCTCCATTCAGCGACTTTGTAAAGTTCATGCAACTGGAGGCCAAGATTGCATGCGACCCTGTGACTTCGATACAAGGACTCAGGGGACAAGACAGACAAAACGACAAAGGTGAAAGGAAAAGAACCCCTGGAGGGAGTTCCTTCTCAACCAGTGCGAATGAGGCAACAAAGAACAGCAACACAGGAAGGGGGATCCAGAATCCGAAGTCCTGCCTTCTCTGTAGCAAGAATCACAACTTGGGCGATTGCTGGGAATTTCTGAAACAGCCATTGGAAGAGCGCAAGACTTTTGCGATGAAAAAGGGGCTTTGTTTCGGATGTCTTAGCCAAGGGCATATGTCAAAGCACTGCAAACGGAGAGCCACGTGCAAAACCTGTGCAAAGTCTCATCCGACAGCTCTTCATGGAGACATAAGAAAGACAGAGAAACCCACAGAAGGTGGAAAAAATCCTCAGCAGAATTCTGAGAAGCAGCAAACATCTGTCAGCTCCCACACAGGTGTTAGTCATCTTAGTGGAACGAGCAACTGCTGTAAAAGTTCGATGATCGTCCCAGTATGGGTCTCACATCGTGATAAACCGGAGAAAGAGAGGCTGGTCTATGCGCTCTTGGACACTCAGTCAGATACGACATTCATTTTGGACAGCACTTGCGAGGCATTGGATCTACAGGGTACCAAGGTCAATTTACTGCTGTCCACCATGTTTGCGGAGGATCAGAAGGTAGCAAGCAGAAAGATAGATGGGCTGATAGTGCGTGGGTTCGACAGCCATCTAAAGATTTCGCTACCAGCTGCATACTCAAGGGAAATAATGCCAGCCAACCGTTCTCATATCCCGACCTCAGAGATGGCCAGGAAGTGGCCACACTTGGAGAAGCTTGCTGATTTGTTGATGCCTTCGACTGACTGCGAAGTAGGCATTCTCATCGGCTATAATTGTCCGCGTGCCTTGGCACCTTGTGATGTCGTTCCTCCTGTCAACAATGGACCATATGGTCAAAGGACCGTCCTTGGCTGGGGCATCGTTGGTATTGTAGACCCAAACCAGTGCGAAGTCGACGACTGTGATCCCATTGGTGTGAGTCACAGAATTCTGATCCATGAAGTACCATCGTTTTTGACAGTTGGTGAAAGTCCAAAGGGATGTACAGAAGAGAATGTTGATAACATTCAATTCTCCTTCAGAAGTCGTGTAAAGGAGATGGTCAGTCCCTACGAAGTTGCACAAATGATGGAACTAGACTTCTCTGAGCGAAAGTCAGACGAGATTGCACTGTCTCAAGACGACCGTAAGTTCTTGACCAAGATGGAGGAGGGTATTCATCAAAGATGCGACAGTCACTTTGTCATGCCGTTACCCTTCAAGGAAGCAGAACCTAAACTTCCAAACAACAAGATTCAAGCTCTTCAGCGTCTCAAGCAGCTAAAGGGCCGGTTCAAGAAGAACCCGCAGTATCACAGCGAGTACAATGCCTTCATGAATAACATCATCAAGAGTGGCTATGCTCAGAAGGTTCCTGATTCCGAGCTTGATGTCTCTGATGACTGTGTATGGTACATACCCCATCATGGTGTCTACCGTCCGAAAAAACCTGAGAAAATCAGAGTGGTCTTTGACTGCAGTGCCAAGTTTGAAGGAAAGTCTTTGAATGACTATCTCCTACAGGGTCCTGACCTGACCAACACACTTGTGGGTGTCCTATGTAGATTTCGACAACAACCGATCGCCTTTATGTGCGACATAGAGCAGATGTTTTACCAGTTCTATGTGATTCCAGACCACCGGAAGTTCCTTCGATTCTTGTGGTGGGAAAAGGGAGACCCTGAAGCTGAACCAAAGGAGTTCCAGATGAATGTCCATCTGTTTGGTGCGGCATCATCCCCTGGGTGTGCGAACTTTGGTCTCAAACAAATTGCGAACAGCTACGAAGAAGAATGTGGTTCTGCAGCTGCGAACTTTGTGCGAAATGACTTCTATGTGGATGACGGTCTGAGATCTGTTTCCACCAGCGAAGAAGCCATTGAGTTGATAACGAAGACCAAGGATCTCTGTGGCAGAGGTGGTTTGCGATTGCATAAGTTTGTCTCCAATTCACGAGAAGTGATGGAAGCAGTTTCGCCACAGGATCGTGCCAAAGGAATCAAGGATCTTGACTTGCGTCACGACTCTCTCCCCATCGAGCGAGCACTTGGCGTCCACTGGTGTATCGAGTCGGACACATTCCAGTTTCGAATCATTCTGAAGGACCAACCACTCACAAGACGAGGAATCCTTTCCACGATCAGTTCGGTATATGATCCTCTTGGATTTGTGAGTCCTGTTCTGTTGGTTGGTAAGCAGATATTACAGGAGCTGTGCAGAAATCAGGCAGAGTGGGATGATCCACTTCCTGAATCCTTACGGCCAACTTGGGAACGGTGGAGGAGTGATTTGGCTCTTTTAGAGAACTTCAAGATGCGACGATGCTTTCTTCCGGAGAATTTTGGTCGTGTTGAATCAGTAGAGATTCATCATTTCTCTGATGCGAGTACCACTGGCTATGCCCAATGTTCATACCTGAGACTCACCGATGACCAGCGAAGAGTACACTGCAGCCTCATCATGGGGAAATGCAGAGTTTGTCCTCTGAAGCCAGTTTCTGTGCCACGCCTTGAGCTAACAGCTGCGGTGGTGTCGGTCCGTGTCAGTGCTCTGTTACAGAAGGAGCTCGAGTATGAGAATGTCTATGAGGTCTTCTGGACCGACAGTAGAGTAGTGTTGGGCTACATTGCCAATGATGCACGGAGATTCCATGTTTTTGTTGCGAATCGGGTACAGCGTATCAGAGACCACACCAAGCCTTCCCAGTGGCGACATGTTGCTACAGATGTTAATCCGGCAGATGACGGATCAAGGGGTCTTGGAGTTGAGGAATTGATGAACAAATCAAGGTGGCTTGTTGGACCTAACTTTCTGTGGGAAGAGCAGGTTCCTATCACACTCGAAGCCAGCAGTCCAACCATTTCTCCAGAGGATCCGGAGGTGAAGAAGGTCAAGAGCCTTGCTACACAGACTGCGAAGCAGACATTCGAGCTTGAACGTCTTGAGCGCTTCTCTGAATGGCATCAAGCCAAGAGAGCTATAGCGACTTGTCTGAAGTTCAAGTCTCTCCTGATGAAGCGTTCCATAAAGAAACCACAGCCAAATTCGATCCAGGCTCTACGAAAAGATGCGATTCCTCTTTACAAACCTGTGATGGTAGAGGACATGTGCCAAGCGGAACTAGAAATCCTGAGACTGGTGCAGAAAGAAGCCTTTGCAGAGGAAATCAAAATCCTGCAATCTTTCAAGGTCAACAGCGACAACCCTAGTAGATCCAAGGTTCGAGAGCGTAACAAAGTCATGAAGACTAAGAGTTGTCTCTACAAATTGGACCCATTTCTGGATGCTGACAACATTCTGCGAGTTGGAGGCCGCATTAGAAGGGCTGGGTTTCCTTCTAACTTCAAACACCCAGCTGTCTTGCCCAGAAAGCACCACATCACCGAATTGATCATTCGACATTGCCATCAGCAAACCCAACATCAGGGTCGGGGCATGACCGTGAATCAAATCCGAATGAATGGCTTTTGGATTATTGGCTGTAGCTCGGCTGTTTCCTACTACATATCCAAATGCGTACGATGCAGGAAGCTCTTCGGCCAAGTTCAAGAGCAGAAAATGGCGGACCTGCCGGAAGACCGTCTCGAACCGGCACCACCATTTACCAACTGTGGCGTGGACTTCTTTGGTCCTTGGTACATCAAAGAAGGAAGAAAGGAATTAAAGAGATACGGAGTTCTCTTCACGTGCATGGCAACACGTGCCATTCACATCGAAACAGCAGCAAGTCTCAGCTCAGACTCCTTCATCAACGCTGTACGGAGATTCATTTCCATTCGTGGGCCCATACGACAGCTGAGATCTGATAGAGGCACGAACTTCATTGGGGCAGAGTCCGAGCTCAAAGAAGCTGTCGCTGAAATGGACCATAGCTCTGCGAGGCAGTTTCTCCTGAAGGAGGGATGCGATTACAGCCACTATGAAGTCAAGATGAAAGCTCCATCAGCCAGCCATACAGGAGGAGCATGGGAACGACAGATACGTTCGGTGCGTAGAGTTCTGGGGCCACTGATGCATCAGGCAGGCTCTCAGCTTGATGACGAGTCTTTGAGAACACTGATGTGTGAAGCAGCTGCAATTGTTAACAGTAGACCTCTTACAGTGGACAACTTGAATGACCCAACTTCGCTTGCGCCACTTACCCCAAATCACCTGTTGACGATGAAATCCACTATCATCTTGCCACCGCCTGGAAGGTTCCAGCGTACTGACATATACTCCCGTAAACGATGGCGTCGAGTTCAATACATGACGAATGAGTTTTGGTCACGATGGAGGAAGGAGTTTATTCAAAACCTCCAACTGCGTCAAAAGTGGATACGACCACAGGATGACCTTCACATTGGGGACATTGTCATCATCAAAGACGAGAATCTTCCTCGCAATCAATGGTTGCTTGCTCGGATTGCTCAGGTGTTCCCAGGCGAGGACAATCATGTAAGGAGGGTCAAACTCGCTATTGGTGACCCCCACTTGGACGACAAGGGAAAGCGAGTCCATTCTGAGAAGTTCCTGGAGCGTCCCATTCAGAAGCTAGTCTTACTTGTGGAGGACTTGGAGACCAGGGGAATCCCCGACGAGGAGCCCTGAGAAGCTTCAACATACATGTTGTGTTTAGTAGTTGTATGCTTAGATAACCTGTTAGTTTATTGTTGTTTAAAGTACTTGAGTTTAGAAATTTGATAGTTTATCTTTTTTCGAAAGTTAATGATCACCAGTAAGATGCTTCAAAGATGATCTATTGTATGTTTATACAATGTGCTCAGACAACTTAAAGGAGCAGTTACCATGTAATTTTTGCATTTTAGTCTAATCAGTGCATGTTCACAATGTTGATCAATACGAGTCTAGATTACTATAACTTCTGATTGTAAATTAGTTACACTAATTTGGGGAGCCATGTTAATGAATTCACAAGTTTGCATTTGTGTATAGCGCCCTCTGTCAGATGACTTTTGAGGACACAACTGAGCCACGAACAAACACACATTAGCACATGTAAAATCCCTTCATGTCAGACATCTTTGGACGATATTTTCTGAGAATCGTTTGAGGTTTTGTCTCTTTTGAGACCCAAGAAACTGAAATAAGAGGGAAAGGATGCAAGGAGGTAATTTAGAGACTCTTGTAATTCTTGAGAAAGAAGTGTAAACCATATATTTGATTCATTTTATAAGATAATTCTGCGATCAGTTTTGACATTCTGTAGCTCAAAATTGAGTGTGATTTTCGTATATGTTTAACCATTGAATTTAGGAATTTGGATTAAGTGATGATTTATGTACGATGCTTTTATAATTTCTGTAATACTCTGTGAACTTAAGGACATTTACTTTGTTTATATATTCACAGTTTTCACGAAGCCACTGCGAACCATTTCATGGAAGACTTGCGAATCATTTTCATGGAATAAATGCGAGATGTTATAATCAACGGCTTCTGTAGAGACCCTTGTTTACTCCTTAGTTACCGACCTTTGACCTAGATGTGACCTGTGACCTAGATGTGACCTGTGACCCCCTGCGAAACCCCTAGTAGTAGCACTACGAACACCTAAAAGACTGCACCTCGAAATTGATTTAGTGCTGCCGCTACAAATAGGATTGTGCTATACATGTATATCGCATTCAAAACGCGTCCAACCAATTTTTGCAAGATTTGGCCAACAAAAAATACAGTTTCCGTGTTAGCTTTATGCGCAGCACCACCTTTAGTTTTAGGTTTATATTCTAAGAGCCTTCTTCAAAATGTATGCAATGAGACATGACCTACGGATTGATGTTTCGGGGGAATTTGAGCTATCCATCCATTTAAGTTAGCAGATTGACAATCTTAAAGATTGTCCATCTGCTGTAACTTTGCGAGATCGAGTCACTCGTTCATCGAACACATTATTTACTCCACCATGGTTGTTGTTTGTTGGGGTGTTGGGGTGTTTGTTTGTTTGTTTGTTTATTTGTTGTACTATTTGCCTCGCTATGATGTTCAAGATGACGTACCAGCCCATCGTTTCGCCTTCAAATCAAACGTATGTCAACGTTGCATATTATAGATCCCAAGCCAACTTAAAACAGTTATTTATTTTTGCGATGTTTTTTTCCCAGATGAATACTTGAACTTGACCTCTAGGAACGACATCCATTTTTCCAGTAATTAAGGCTAGAAAGACAAGAAAGCACTGACCAGAAAACTGTTGCTTCCGCAATTAAATTGCTTGCTGGCGTACCAATACAAGGTGGCAATTACTATTGTCTGAAAACGACACGTTGGTCACCCGTGTTTTAATTTCATTTTATGACAATAGACCGAAAAGACCGAATGGAAATTGGCTTTGTTCTTCTTTAAAATTGACCTTGTGTCTCTAAGCAACTAACGGTCAAAAAAAGACTGTAGAACCTAGAGCCATATACTAGATAAACTGGGGATAAAGACAGAAGAGACTTTGACAGAGCAGACAAATTTCGCCTGTGATTATGTTAACGGAGTTTTGAAGAGAAAGCCTTTATTATGGCGTCAGTACTGAGTAGGCATACTGTCAACGTTCTGATCTTGGTAATTTTTGGAGCATTCCAAACTTTGCTAGCCGTTTGTCCTTCCGGCTGGTTTGCCTTGCAAAACGCCTGTTACATCTTTCTGCCTGACAAGATGGATTGGTGGCAAGCTAAGGAGGTTTGTGAACGGCCCGGGAGCAGCCTGATCGTTCCTGACTCGCAGGAAGAACATGACTTCATCTGGCGGGAAATAAAAGGTGGAGAATACGGAGCTACCGACGACATGGATGGTACGGAAGTGTGGGTTGGCTGCAGCTTCGTTTATGACATGTTTGGACGTTCGCTTTCGTGCGTCAATGTCACTAATCCCATCTACCAAAATTGGGCGCCTGGTGAACCAGCAGATCTACTTGAACAGTGCCTCGTGATGGCTGACAAGTTCAAGGGGAAGTGGGGTAGCAAATCGTGCAGTGCCTTGAAATACGTCGCTTGTGAGATGCATGTTTCTCGTGTCTCGTTCTGCATGCCAACCGATGCTGACGGCCAGTATCCGCCGCACTGTCTGCCCAACCATGAGATCAAGAACCTGACGACCGGACTTAGCGAATGTGCCAAGGAATGCGGGAAGGAGCATCGATGCCACTCCTTCAATCTCTGGCAGAAGGAGGAAGAAGACGTGGGAGTCTGTCAGCTCAACAGTGCAACTCGCTTGCAGGCCTCTACCGAAGAGTACACGTACGTAGAAGACTGCTACTTTTACGAAATGGGAAGCAACTAAAAATGCATCTCGTATAGGTGTGTAACTCGGCTAAGACTTGTCGTTTTAAATTTAGAATTGTTGGTGTCCATCTTTATCCGTTGAACAGTGAAATTGCAACACTAACATCAGTAGTACATATAGCTAACGCGTTCAGTGGACAATTTCATTTGGACATTTTTACTGGAAAACAGATTTTGAACAACTCGATTTAAATATTTATTCCCGGTAAATAATTTTGAAAAGTCGTTGATTTTGCTGACGAAACTTCTTTGTGAACATTTTACTTCTACCTGCACTCACGGACCTCATCTAAGTGTTTACTTCTTCATTCACATCGAATTGAGATGCCTGAATAGTTTTGAAGTGTGATCAACAATCAAGAGACTTTTAAAAACTCTTTATTTAAAAAAAAAGATTAGTATATACGTGTATTTAATGTTTACAGGACTGTACAAAAAATATATGAAGAAATCGTTAATTAAGCGATTATGTACCTTTCGGGCATTTGCAGGCACGGTTCGTTACTGACTATTGGGAGGGACACTAAATATATATTCAGGAACCGTTGCAGTTTCGGGAAAGGTTGGAAAAAATATCATTCGGGAGTGGGTGGGGTGAGCTGGGGAGAAATAAAATTGGGAATTTCATTTGCTAAAATTAGAACAAAATAGGCACCGTTTTGTTAGACAAGGTGGAATTTCTTCTTTTTTGCAGCCTACCAATGCCACCGCACCAGCTATTATGAGATGTGGACTTGTTTTGTGAATTTGTTTTACATGCACGTTCAGCACCAAATAAACATAAATTGCACAAAACTTCTCATGAGAAACAAAAGTGAACAGTATAGTGGATCCCAATTTTACTCTGATTATCATAGAAGACTAGATAAGCCTGATCCAGCTTGGACCACTGAAACTAAAACTGTGCAGCGCCACCATGCGTTTGAGAAAAGGTGAATGTAGGACCGCATGCATTCCCATTTTTAGACTTAATATTGAAATGCCTTTTTTTTCACGTCAAAAGAATTTGATAATTCTGTGATATCCGTGAAATTTACTAAACTAAACTCATTGTGATTTCTTGCTTAAAGTGAAAATACAACATTTGCAAACATCAAAAACGAAATGATGAAATTATCAGGAAATACCTTACTGGATTGTTGGGACTGACAGTCTAAAGCATCCAGTCAAATCGTGGCTCCTGGTGTGCTGACATTTTCAAGAAAAAAAATGTATTTTTCCAACGCCGGTCGGCCGACCAGCGTTGGAGAAAAATGGCTTTTTTTCAAAAACTGCTCCTAAATTTGCGTTTTTAGTTATTCCGCATTTTCTGTGCAATTAATTACACACCTGTGATGGGGTACAAGCCTGTTAGACTGATTCTCTGACCTTACAATTCCCTTAAGTCTATAAATTGCTCCGTTTTATCTTAAGTGGGGTCAGGGAGCCAGACTACAAGAACATGATAGATTTTCTTAGTTTTTCCAGCATCTACAAGCCCAAAACGTGAAACGAGTCAGTGTAACAATATGTGCTATAACAATATCTGCTATAACACGCTAATCCTCCAAATCCATTTATTTCTGAAAATTGCAGCAAAAGCAAATGTTGTACATTCCCTTTAACATAAATTGGGCGGATCTCTCCCCAACCACCCCCGCGACATTTTTATTCCTTTTATCAATCTGACTATATTTTCCACGAACGAAAAAGTAACGAAAAGAAAAACAATACACTCCCGATCCCTTGCATGCACCGAACGTATACGCTACCATTAACCTGCACAGAAAGATTTCGATTATTCACCACACCGAGCTTTAATTCCATGTGTTGGAGATATTTTAATCTTTATAATATTTACATTACGAAACTTATACAATAAAATGCAAAATATGTAATATTTACAACTATTAACACATGAATTGCTATCGTAGCAATAACAATAGAAAGCTTGCTAATTAAGGTACCATTCTCTACACAGTCATTATCCGTTCACTAAACTAAAATTCTCCAATACAATACCGTGTGTGTCAATATCGTACAATATAATCAACAATACGATGTACTTTGTCCGCAACGGACTTGGATCCCAAAATCCAGGGAGATGATTCTTGGACATATACAATTCCATCAATTTTAAAGCCAAACTGTCTCCGTTTTCAAAAGAAATTGTGGGATCACATTTTATGCTAATGAGCTCGCGTAGAAAGTCTCACTTTGCACAATTAAACGCGAATTAATTGCGGCCTCTGTCGTTCGATTCGCGCCAGTCGGATATTGTTGTTATAATCGTTGTAATAGTAATAATGACATTATCGGCACTCTTTGTGGGTTGGCCAAACGAGTTTTACTCTTGAATATTTACACTGCGTACACCACTTACAAACTCAACCAAAGCAATACGTTTGAAACCTTCTAGCTTTCATGTTTTAAATTGGGCGAAATTTTTGGCTTATTCGGGAACAAAACTGCCCCCCCCCCCCCCCCCCCTCTCCAAAAAATTGTGTTCTGCCGGCATTGTCCGGCCGCTGAAAAAGAAATGCTAAACCCCTCTTGATCCGAATCTGGATCCGCAACTGGGGGTTTGATTATGCATATAGTCATTATATAGTGCAATGAGTCAAGTCTACATGTGAACGACACAATGAAGGGCATCTGTGATTCCATTACTATATCAATATAGCTTATTCTACGGACTTAAATTTCAACCATTCTGAATCAATATAAAAAAGAATTGCTCGCCTAGTCTTTTAGGCTTGTGTAGAAATTATCTCAGGATGTTTCATGTTTCACTTTAAGTTTAATTTTAATTTTATATCTTCGGACAATAATTAAAAATCTTTTAAAAAAAGAAAGATTGTTTTGGTCTAGACAAAAGTTTGTAAAAACTGTCATCAGAGAGTGTCAAACCAAAAAAAAACCCAGATTATTATACAGTATAAATAATTACTATTAAATCAAACAAAATTTATTACGAAAATCCCACACCCAGAAAAAAACTATAAACAAACAAACAAATTATAACAAACATATTCTAATGTTCGGAAATAACTTTAAGAAATCATTAATTAATTACCATCGCTAACAACTAATCTACGATAAAACTACTCACTACTTATGTTTTATGTCCTGTCACTTGAGGGCGCCGATACAGACTAGTAAATACATCGCAGTGGAGTAAGGAAAAGGAGCGAAGACATAAATATTTTTCATGGCGGTGGTCACCGATTTCTGCAATTTTTCCTGACGGGGAGTCTTTAGGGCGAGGGCCGTGGTATATTGATACAACAAGGGCGCGCTGTTCATGAAAATCCATGCACAAACGTTGACGTAATGAGTTCACTTTGTCGAAACTTTCCCCAAGTTTGCGGTAACCATTCCGGCAGTTTTCAGAAAGAACTCATATTTATTTTGTGGCCAGATTATTTTTTTGATACAATTAATTGTATTCTTATTGCTTAATTATAACTACTGCATCCCAGTCGATGTTCAGCAGTATGGTGTTATTTTCCCTCTTGGAGCAGTCGCTGCTGGCAAGATACTCCATCATGGATCTCTGTACGTCTTCGGGCGCCGTCTCCTTGAAGTTAACAGAATGGGTCAGGAAATCAACCAACAAGCTGTCTTCATCGGCAGTTTCGTCGAAGCACTTGGTAACATCTAAACCGTTGGGTTGGTGGTACTGCGTGTACGGGATGCCACGGCGGTCCAAGGAATTGCGTATATCGGCTGAAGTTATTTCACAACCGCCCCGACGAAGCTCAGGAAAGCGGTCCAGAAATCGGTTCCATCCGTTGTTTTCTGAACAAAAAGACACCAAAAATCTGTCAACTTATACCCAGCTTTGAAGGGGCTATGCAATGTAATTTTGTTTAATGCAATCCTTGAAAATACACATCTTTGTGTCCTTTTTAACTTTATTTCCAACGTTCGCTTTGCCATTTTCAAGGGTATAGGCCTATTGGTGCGTTTGTGGTTTTTATGCAAATGAAAATTTACATATTCATGTGCAAAACTGTGATGCCAACCAGGCGGAAACCTCAATGCTAGGCCCTACAGCCATTTCGACAACAAAAGTTGCCAGAATGTTATTTATTTATATTTTTTTTGGCTGTCATAAGTTTTTCTTTTCTTGTGATTCGTTGTTGTATCAATACAGCCAGTGAGCAAACTTTTGTCACAAACGTTTCCAATTTCGGGTTCATAAGTTGAACAGAAAACCCATAAACTGAACAGTGTCTTCCTGAAAATGACTCACAGCAACAGCGCCCTCTGTTGTCCGGAAAAGCATGGAAAATTTGTAAATGTTTAAAGAAGTGTAGTTTTGAATACAATTTACCAAAAAGGGACTTCAAACAGTTTTCATACATTTAAGAGAAGTAGAAAGTTGCACAAAATATGTTCCTTAGAAAAATCATGCTATGCCCCTTTAATGTTAAAGCCTGTAATACGCAGTTCTTCACGACTGATTTTGGAAGCTAGAGTGCTGAACACATTGGCCTACTAGCATTTTTGAGGGGGCTGTGCCCGGTCAACAATTCCACGTGGGATATATACGTGCATGTATGAATTATGGCGATTACCTATACTGATGATGCTTTGAGTTTCCTTCTTAATATTGTGTAAAGGGCACAAACCATGACTAGCACCCATGGATAGAAAGAAATACGTATTATAGGGAGAGCTGTGCTACGCCAAACCAATGGGATTTAGCATTTTGCATAAAATACTGACCTGACTTGAGGATCACAAGTATTGCTCCGCCAGGGATCAGGCAGTTGTACAAATACTCCAGGGAGCTGTCATAGTCGTCCAGGTAGTACATGCAGTGAACTGCGCTGATGAAGTGGAACTTAGTCGCATCTCCCGCCTTCTGGTATTGCTCGAGCGTCTGCTGCCGAAAATCACACTCGACACCTTGTAGTTCGTGAGTCTTATATTGAGCCAACGCCTTGTACTGGACTAGCATCTTATCAGAAGGCTCAACTACACGATTATTGACGAGTGAGAATCGCTTTTTGAGTTGCTCCAACATCACACAATCCTGTTCACCTGTACAGGCCATAATTATAATAGTTATAGGTAATTATTATAATACCAATAAGTCAGTCTTCCAACTGTCTTGAGATGTTCCAAACGGATGTTGGGCTGCAATATCATCCGATAGCCGGCCTTTGGGTCTTGGTCAAATTAAGACTGGATTTGGATTTTGCTTCTAAGGCAACTGGCCGCAATCCTAGTGAAGGCGGATCCATTTGAGGGATGCCCTGCCAAAAAGTGTCCATGTTGTGCCCATTCTTGAAAATCACGCATTCTCGAAAATGGGCATGCACATTCTCGAGAATGGGCGCGCATTCTAAGAATGAGCGCCCATTCTTAAGAACGAGCACGCGTTCTTAAGAATGAGCGCTCATTCTTAAGATTGGTTGGGAATATCACGTGCACAATTTATGAATTTTGCCCAATCTTAACAAACATTGCACGACATAATTATGTTAAATGAATTGTATAGCGGTTAAAAGGGAAACAATTCATATAAAGAGGAAAGAAAATGTGCTATGCTTCTGTACTCGTATAATTACGATAATTTGAATCAAATTAAACCTGTTATTATTGCTTTTTTCTGCCCACTATGGGAAGTTTTGTAATAACGGAGGACTGGGAACTAGTCTGGGAAGTGCTTTGTTTAGGCTAGACAAGTTACAAGTCCCTGCATGTATCATATGCGTGCCACAAAAAAAAAAACGATGTCCAGAAGCTGCCAAAATTGCTCTTTTGACTAGATAGAATCCAGCTCTGCGACGTTATGGTGGGATGTGAACAATAAATTGGTGGCAATTTAAATGGGAAATAGCATTAGCACTATGGGATGTCGCAGTATTCATTCTCATTCTTCACATTCTTCATTCTTACGTCCCCCCCCCCCTTGCTTTTATTATCCCAAAAATCAGAATTCTTTGCACTAGTATTATTATGTCTCTTATATTTTCCCGGTCCCCCCCCCCCCATATTAATACGCCTTTACTTATCATATCCACTCTACTTTTCAGAGCCTTGCGTTGCAACAGTATAATTATTGAGAATCAGTGAACGAGGATTCAGCTAGACTTGCCAAGCGCAGCCGGTGCTCGGCATCGACAAGACCGTTATCTTGTCGCGCATTCTCGAGAATGTGCGCTCAATCTGGAAGAGTTATTTTTTGCCAAGATTGAGCAAGGATCCAGTTGCACATTCTCAAGAATGTGCATGCCCATTCTCGAGAATGCGTGATTTTCAAGAATGGGCACAACATCCAGTTGGTTTTTAGTAAAAGCAAAAGAGGATCGAAGACGACTGTTTTCATCGATGCCATGGTGATAGTATAATCAAGCTGTGGCCGGAGCTTCGATCTACATGTCACTTGGTGGTCGGTCGGTCAGTCGATCGGATGGTCCGTCTGTATGCACCACTTGTGGGGTACCCGTCCTTTGTTCGAGGTACCCCACAAATAAAATCTTTAGAAAAAAGGGTACCCCGCAACGACAACTTTAGAAATAGGGACAATGGGACATAACAACAATGGAGGTACCCCGGAAGTCCATCTGGCTGGAACGTCCGTATGTCTGTCTGTCCGTGCTTACCAGTGACCACTTGTGGGGTACCTGTCCATTGTTGGAGGTACCCCGCAAGTGAAATCTTTAGAAAATAGGGTACCCCGCAAGTGAAATCATTAGAAATAGGGACAAAGGGACAATAATGGAGGTACCCCAGAAGTGTCCGCCCGCTGGAACGGACGTATGTCTGTCTGTCCCGAAACTTGACCAAAAGTATGGTGTTCCATAGTGTGCCATCGGCGTCGCATTTTTAAGCTCTGGCAGGAATCAATTTGATCGATTCCATGCAAGCCTTTTACACAAGCCTTCTTGCAACACGGTACTTGTTTTGGGTTTGTTGACAATTAGCATTGCGACAATACATACATACAACAGCATTATAAAATGTAACGTACCTGATCCACTGCCCACTCCAAGGACCCGTAGCTCTTCTTGTCCGTCCAGTGTGGCCTGGAGTTTACCAACCACCGCCTCGCTAAACACACCGTCCACCCAGTCAGAGAACACCCTCAATTTGTCAGACCGAGCGCAGAAGACTTTGAACGCCTTGGCATAGTGGCTCGGATCGCTGAGCAGACTCTGTAGTGATTTTGTGTCCATGTTCTCTTTTCTGCTTGATTACTCCAATATTTTGACAGCTGTAGACAACCTGCAGATAGGTGGACGGATTTTGACCCAACTGACTTAAACAGTCTCAATCATGAAAGGATTGAAATTCGAAGAAATTACGAAAATATTAATATAGAGCCGTCTCGCCCCACGTCATGTTACCGCAGCAACGCACAGCGCCCTCCATATTGGATTACAGGGACGTTGACGGCGCGAAGTTTATAACACGTAAATTACAGACGATCCCGAGTACGACTCGACTTGCAAGACAAGTTAGTGTCATTGTTGTGCCCATTCTTGAAAATCACGCATTCTCGAGAATGGGCATGCACATTCTTGAGAATGTGCAACTGGATCCTTGCTCAATCTTGGCAAAAAATAACTCTTCCAGATTGAGCGCACATTCTCGAGAATGCGCGACAAGATAACGGTCTTGTCGATGCCGAGCACCGGCTGCGCTTGGCAAGTCTAGCTGAATCCTAGTAGAGTGGATATGATAAGTAAAGGCGTATTAATATGGGGGCGGGGACCGGGAAAATATAAGAGACATAATAATACTAGTGCAAAGAATTCTGATTTTTGGGATAATAAAAGCGGGGGGGGGGAACGTAAGAATGAAGAATGTGAAGAATGAGAATGAATACTGCGACATCCCATAGTGCTAATGCTATTTCCCATTTAAATTGCCACCAATTTATTGTTCACATCCCACCATAACGTCGCAGAGCTGGATTCTATCTAGTCAAAAGAGCAATTTTGGCAGCTTCCGGGACATCGTTTTTTTTTCGTGGCACGCATATGATACATGCAGGGACTTGTAACTTGTCTAGCCTAAACAAAGCCCTTCCCAGACTAGTTCCCAGTCCTCCGTTATTACAAAACTTCCCATAGTGGGCAGAAAAAAGCAATAATAACAGGTTTACTTTGATTCAAATTATCGTAGTTATACGAGTACAGAAGCATAGCACATTTTCTTTCCTCTTTATATGAATTGTTTCCCTTTTAACCGCTATACAATTCATTTAACATAATTATGTCGTGCAATGTTTGTTAAGATTGGGCAAAATTCATAAATTGTGCACGTGATATTCCCACCCAATCTTAAGAATGAGCGCTCATTCTTAAGAACGCGTGCTCGTTCTTAAGAATGGGCGCTCATTCTTAAGAATGCGCGCCCATTCTCGAGAATGTGCATGCCCATTCTCGAGAATGCGTGATTTTCAAGAATGGGCACAACATCATGATTCATTGATCTCCAGTGCTGAAGTGCTTGCTGCTACCACTAAATCGACAACTGTAGCGGGGATGTAATTCCAGGTAGGCCTACTAATCATAAGATTTCAGTGTCATGAAATCAAGTCCGAAATAAAAAAAACGGTGGCGTCCGGAAATTGGGCACAAATTCAGCTGGGTGTTCCGTAAGTAACGAGTAAACGTGCAGACTTGGCGCACTTGAACAAATCTCTGAAAATCCCACATTAACATTTAATAATTTCTTTAAAATTGATAAATTCAGATAAATCATTGTAACCTCCAGTTTGTAAAATCATTTTCATGTTTTGGGGCGCATTTTAAAAGAGTTCATTGTCATTGTGCACTTCGAAAAAAAATCAGAAAATAACGCCAAAATAAAATTTCATTGGAACTTTGTAAATATGTTTTGGGTAATCCTTACTTTTAGGACACCTCTATTTTTTACAAGTTCTGTTCAAAACTGACTTTTGCAGATGACTGTCCAGTACCAAAGTGACTTTTGCAGGCTAAAGAAGTCTTTTTTCTTCAGACAAACTCGTGTTAGTTATAATTTTGAAAGCACTTTCAAAGAAAATGTGACTTTCCTACCTTTTTTTGCAGTTCGCCATCTTGCTTTTTAAATTTATTTTCTGTTTGTCATCGTCGTCTTTAACCCCTCATAAATCAAAACCCTGCCCTCTTTCTACAAAATCAAACCTGCTGATATTCAAGAGGTGTCGTTGCCAAATGTTCAAATGTGTCAATAAATATCAGAATGTCACTTTTGAGTGTCATTTAGTCAGCTGTTTTGGTGAGTCTTTTAACCTTATATAGGAAAGGGGTCCTAAAAGTAAGGATTACCATGTTTTGTTCATGTATTGTTTGACTCAGGCCTAGCCCTATTCTCGATTTTGATCCTTTGTTTAATGCATTGTTTACTGCAATACACGTCCAAATGTAAACAACGCATTATACAGAGGATCTAAATCGAGACTAGCCTAGCGTTAGTTCAGTATTTGACCATAATGACATTTCTTTTGTACAAAACATATGAGACAGGCTGAATATTTAGGTTTTTCCTACTCATAGTGAAATCATCACATTTTTCATTGTTAATTTTTATCCCATCTGAACTGCACTTAGCCTTTGGCCTAAGTTATTGTTTTTATTTAGGGAAAAAATGTAATTGTCAATTAAATCAAGGGCAAACACTGCAAAGGTTGATTTATAATGTCAAGTATTGCCCTGTATGAGCTTGATGAGAGCTGGCGATCACCAGTAATTTGTGTGTGTGTATGTGTTATTACTCTGCAGATTGAGCGCCATTAATTTTGCTTTTTTTGTGTTCTGTTTTTATTTCGCAGTTGACTGTATGTAAACCTGTTATCATGGCAGCAAGATCAACATACTACCAAGCCCTGGATGGCCCTGCAAAAGTCCGATATAACAAGATTCTGCAGTGTATTGATGACATTGATCCATACACAATTAGTTTGCGGTCATGGAAAGAGGATCCACATTCTCTTCCTCAAATATCGTATCCTGACATTGTTAATTTTCTAGTGTATACTCCTAGTCCATACACTTTGGAGGACTTGAAATGCTATAAAGGCCTGGATGCGTACAACCAATTCGTAAGTGGATGGGTTCGTAATGTCGTTTCTACCGTCATCAACGGCAAGCACGTTGTTACAGCAAAGGTAATAAACTAAGACTTGGTGGAAAAAAAATTATGTGCCCTTAATGTAAACTTTCTGTAATTCACTCCCCATCAGTGCACACCATAAGAAGATGCTACTTTAATACAGTGCAAGTCTTTAATTGTCCTTGTTATGAAATATACAACTTTTTAAGGAAAAAAAATATCAGATCTTTACATTCCATATTTTGTACATTGGTCTTGGGCATGTTACTTCGTGTGATATTCTTTCTGTTTGGTTTACTGAAAATGTTTTGTAACTTTTTTCTTAACACTTGCAGGTGATGCATTCACAGAGACTGCGGGAGGCGGCACTCAAGCCATGGTTAATTGCAGAAAAGTGTGGGAAGATCATCGCAACCCACTGCAACTGCATTGCTGGTCTCGGAGAGGCTTGTACTCATGTCAGTGCTTTGATGTTTTACATTGACACAAAGGTGCGTATCAGAGATAGCAAAACAGTAACACAGGAACCAGCTTACTGGAAGATTCCATCTGCTGTAAAGGATGCCCAATACTTACCTGTAGCTCAAATAGACTTCACATCAGCCAAAACCAAAAAGAGGAAGCTTGATATGTTAGTTAATGATGGTTTGATGCCACCTCCACGGAGCAAGGTGCGGAAGATAGTTCCTGGGCCTACTGATGCTGAACTCACAACCCTCTTCTCGCAGATGAATGCAACAGGAACTAAGCCGGCACTCCTCAGCGTTGTACCTGAACACTGCCACCAATTCAAACCATCACATACTGACAACATCCTTCCGCCAATTCTAACCGATCTGTATAACCCTCAGTACTCAACTCTCTCATTTCCTGACCTGCTTAACAGATGCAACGAATTTCAGCTGACAATTACCCAAGAGGAGGCAGACAATGTAGAAAAGGCAACAAGAGCACAATCATCCAGCAAGAAATGGTTTCGTTTTCGATCAGGCCGCACCACTGCATCAAAGATGAAGAATGTTTGCAGGACTAATCCAGACCAACCTTCTCAATCACTCATTCAATCTGTGTGCTATCCAGAGTCGTGCAGGTTTTCTACAGCTGCAACCAAGTGGGGATGCTCCCATGAAATAGAGGCACGGCAGGCTTATGTGGAAAGAATGGGAGAAGTGCACCATAATTTTGATGTTAAGGACTCTGGCTTGGTAATTAACACAAGTTGCCCCCACATTGGGGCTTCCCCAGATGGGCGTATTTCCTGTGATTGCTGTGGGGAAGGTGTCCTAGAAATCAAGTGTCCATTTTGTGCTCGTGACACTCAAGTCAATGAATATGCATCCCTACAAAATACATGCCTTGTAGCAAATGATAACGAGGTTTCTCTTGATAGGAAACATGCATACATGTATCAGGTTCAAACACAAATACATACTTGCTCTGTTGACTATGCTGACTTTGTGTTGTGGACAAATACAGATGTCCATATCGAGCGAGTTGAGCCTGATGCAAATATGTGGGATGAAATTCTAGAAAAAAGTCGCGAGTTTTTCTACAAAGCAGTGCTACCAGAATTAATGGGCAAATTTTACACCCGTATCCCATCTGTTCACGATAAGCCACCAGCTACACACTGCTACTGTGGAAAATCGCAACCTGTGGACAAGATGATCTCATGCGCTAATGAAGGCTGCAAAATCACCTGGTTCCACCAAAGTTGCCTCCAGATAAAGAGACTGCCAAAAGGGAAATGGATCTGCCCAGAGTGTCGTAAAATACCACGGAAAAAGGAAGAATGAAATTTTTATTATAACAATAATTGGTTGTGCTTTTTAAGGAAAGTTGCAGAGAGTTTAATCACTTTCTTTTTTCCACCCCAAGGCAAAAAATGCATAACTTTTGGGCTAAAGCCATTCCCTGAAAAAACTAGTTTTTTTTTCACTTTGAGAAAAGATAAAGGCTTTTGTGCAAAAACATGATCTTAATTGTCCAATGGGCTCCATCACTGTGGAAAGACTGTACCCTTATCCTTAAAAGAATACATTTAAAAAGGGCTCCTGCATGTACCTTACTTTTCCTAGTTGTATTAATTTCAAATGGGTGCAATCAAATGTACATGTATAGAATTCCCTTGTAACACACACCAGGCTGTAATAAAAACAAAGGACCTCTGATCAAAGTTTTTCTTTCTGTAACAGTAAGCAAGTGTTTTTATTATTGAGTTTACACTGTGCATACTCATACGACAATGCAGGTGAACACATTTCAGAAAATACTGTAGAAAGTTGCTCTAATGAACATTCTGCATCCGTGAACATGACTCATGGCTCTCAATTTGTAAGTTACAGTGTATCTCTTTGCTTCCTATAGTCTATAGTACATGTATAA